AAAAAAGGCATCTGAAATATTTAATATTATGTCAATCAGTCTGGTAATTTTATTATATTATTTAAAAATGTATTACAGGATAAAATCAAACTTATTAAATTATGTGATTTTGTTCTAATATTATACTCTTAGCAGTTATTGTTTACATTGCCACAGTTGAATAATATTTAACCATATTATTTTATTTTTAAGCAGTTAATTGTTATATATTTTAATTGTGTAGGTATCCTATTTATATATAAATTTGTTGCAATTATATTGTTTATATTGTATATGTACATTATAAATCCTCTAAAAAGTGCCATTCACTGGATTAGAAAAAAGTATTAGCATTTGCGAGACTTAATGTGCCTTCATGTTGTTTTAAGTCTTAGGTATTTGCCTGGAACAAGTAACTAAGTGCTAATATATTGACTATTCTCTGTCTCAAAGTAGAATACAATGGCATGAGTAATGACCGGTGGAAGGAAAAAGTGTGCAGAACCGATGTATTCTACTTGGTGACGTAGAATGTAATAACCTTCACTAGGAAAAATGTTTCTTTTATTGACAAACAATAACTTAAAATTTTGTTTTACAAATATTACAATTTATAATATAAGTTTTCAACATAACTAGTGTTATAAGATATATTTTTTCTCATTTTAATCATATAGAATATAAGTGATTCTTAAAAATACTTATCTACTTTTGACTACTGCTGTTGCATTTATACAACAGTATGCCCCAAACACAACTGATATCCTGCAGCTGCTGTCATGTATACCCTTTTTTTATCAACAACAGCATATAGAAAGGAAATCTCCAAAGGTATTTCCAATAAAGTCAATTTAATGCATTACAGTTGGGTATAATCATATTACAATACACTTTTCAAATGATATACTAGGGTCACTGATATATTTCTATTGGTGTTTTGATTGTATGAGTTATTTGTGAAAATGTAAAACGTAACACAATGCATACACTATCTGGATTAATTCTAAAAAATGACTTTTTTATATTCATTAAGTCTGCATTGTTTATTTTGACTTAAGTTCTTTTAATAATCTATTTACATAAATTACATCATTTTAAGAAGTTTAAACATGTACAAATATAATTAATTTTAAATACCTACTTATTAATGATATTGCATATAAATACTTATTTATAACTGAATATTCATTAAAACGTACATGGTTAATGAATAATTTTTTTTACATTGTAAATTTTTTTTTAAATTTAATTTATTTAAAATTGTTGTTATTTATTGATTATTTTTAATTTAGTTTGTTCTACTATATATATTATATTGCCTATCTTCTGCAGTTTTATTTTGATTCGTTAAATATTAATAATTGAATATTTTATTCTTAATTAGATGTTGATGATGTCAAATATGTAATAAATTTTGATTACCCAAATTCATCTGAAGATTATGTACATCGTATTGGTAGAACTGGTCGTTCTAGCCGTACTGGAACAGCATTCACATTTGTTACCCCTAGCAATGCTCGTCAAGCCAAAGATCTCATATCTGTCTTACAAGAAGCTAAACAAGTGGTTAATCCTAAGCTTTTTGAACTTGCAGAAATGGCTGCTGCTGGAGTGTTTGGAAAGAGTATGTTCTGGAAAATTGTTAAAAGTCTAGTGTTTGAATAATAATTATGTCCTAAATGTTTTAGTGGACCGTTCCAATCGTAGCCGTGATCGTGGTGGACAAAATAGTCGAGGCCGTGGTAATCATGACCGTGGTAGTCGTGGAAACTATAATAGTGGTGGCCGAGGTACATATAGAGGAGGAAGTCGTGGTGGTTACTTGGGTGGAAGTCATAGTTCTAGTCGTGATAGCTATACAAGCGGAAATCAGGGAGGTCGTAGTGGGTTTACAGGAGCTACTCCTGTTAACAGTATTATGAGTAATAATAATAATGGAACTGCTCCGGGTCGTGAAAGAGCAAGCAGATGGGGAGATAGTAATAATAGTCAAGTAACGCAGCACCAACCTACTAGTCAGCATCAACCAGCATTTGTGTCGCAGCCTCCCGTTCAAATACCTAATATGAGCAATCCACCCCCTGGTTATGCGAGCAGTTATGGATTCCAAGCGCCTCAACCTAATAGTAACTTTAGAGGAGGTTTTTAATTTATGACTTTGAATTTTTTCTTTTATATTTGTATTAATTATAAAGCACTTTATTTTCAAACCCAATTTTATTAGATAACAATGGTGTGTTTAGTAAAGGAAAAAATAATATAAAATTATACCTGTGTAATATTACTTTTAGTAAATTATTGATAAATTAAAATATGAATACACTTATTTATACAATATATATATATATATACTCAATATAACTAAATTTTAAATATTTATTATTTGAAGTTATTATTTTATACAATTTGAAAATTATATTGTAAAATAAATCCTTCTATTCTAAAATTATCCAAATAGTTACTCAATACTTACTAAGATTTATGCTGGATAGATGATAATTTTTGTACTCAACATTTAAAATAGTCTGTTTACAACATGTAAAAATATATACTCTGCTGATGACATAATGAATGTTTAGGATAAAAACATTCATTTATTTTAAAATAAATTCAAATATATTTCAAAACTTTGGTTGTCATTTTTTTTGTCAGTTATTACTATTTTTTTTCATAGCTAAATTAATAAAAAGTAGGTTGTAGGTATATGGTTTAATGATACAGTATCATAATAATAATAATTTGTATATTTAATCACATTGAATTTGAACATTGTATTTGATACAATTTTGCAAACTAAAAATTATAAAATAATTTATGCTAAATAGGATATACGAATCCTCCTATTCCGAACACTGGTGATAACATTAATATATATTAAACCAAAGAACAAACCATTGACTATAAATACAATTTAATCAATGACTAGAATAATAAATATAAAAGAGGGTAAGCGAATGTCACTCTGCTGTACAATAGGTTTTAAGTGAGTCACTGTAATGAATGGTGTTAAATTTGAATGTAATGATATAAAGTCATTGTATGCGAAAAACAATAAGCATAGGTGGTCTGCCAATCTTTATTATTACTTTGTATGTTTGATAAATTTATTGTGATTAAAGTAATGTATTTAACTAGTAAGCATTAGGACTACGCGGTAGATTAAATTCATTCTTGCCTAAAATATAATAATATACTTTAAAAGTTTCAAGTACCCACAAATAATATTTTTAATTTACAACAAAATAACATAAATCATTATTCTTTCTTGGTTATATGTAACTTCATCCATATTTTAAAATAAAAAACGATATATATTTTTAGATTTTTTGGTTACAGAATAACATACTTGGGTGTTATAAATATTCAACCCTTAGCTATAAGCCTATAAAAGTTCAACATTTTATAAATATTTAACTATAAAATAATTTATAAATGTTGAATGATATGAATTTTGTCAACATTTTAACTTAAATGCTTATAAAAAAATCCTGTCTATGTATTCTAATTAATTTTTAACTGATATTAAATTTTCAAGCTTTTCGAACCAATAAATAACGAGTCGAAATATTTTGGAAATTTGATCAAGTATATGAATTGATGAAATAAACAAATTCAGTAAATTTCAAGTATCTGCAGTTATTCGTTTTTTAATTACAATAAAATAAGAATATCGTTGTAAGAGAAATTTAGTGAATATTCAATGTTGTAAAAACTTCAAACGCTCATAAAAATTCAATTTGTCTCCCCGATAAAATTTTTTTTTTTTATAGATGTAGACAAACTTATAAAGAATCTTGTATTAATTATAAAATCTTAGATATAAAAAGAAAAACTTTATGAATTCATAATTCAACATTATTTTCATGATTTTTGTGAAATTCTAAATTCAAACGCTTATAAAAAATTATTGCGAAGTTAAGCTCAACTTTTTTTTTAATTTCCACTAACAACAACTTATGAGAAACCTTGATTTACATTTTAAAGTTTTTTTACTTAGCAAAAAAACTATTATCGTCGTTAATTTAAAAAAAAAAAACTAATAATTATCGAAAATTTCATATGCCTGTAAATAGTTTAACAGAAGTCAAAAAATTGTGTGTGTATAGAAAACGAGGATATAAACATTCAGTGAAAATGGCATGTTTCTACAGTCATTTTATGAGTTCCAACAAAAAACAAAATCGATTTTGTCAAAAACTGGTTTTGCTTAAACATTCCCAGTTTTCCTTAACTTTTTGTTTGTTTTTCCTGCCGTTTTTAAAAACTATTAAGAGTTTTTTACTTTTGACCCCTCAAAGTACCACTAGATTCACTTTCCTGCCATTAAATATGCTTTTGAAGAAAATCGAAGCACATTACAGTCCCAAAACGTGATGACAGACACAAAAATAAATAAATAAACATACAACAGTGTAAAATCAATACATTCATAGATCTGTTCAGATTCTAAAATATGATGTGATTGCTTCATCATTAATATTAATAACCAATATATTATATAATATTGTATCAATTGGTAATAATTACTAATATAATATAATATTATACTAGTAAACTTGTGATAAAAACAATATGACATGATGGCTAAAGTCCAGATTCAGTTTAAGTCCTAGCACACGCCACTTGCTAACTCATATGCCATTATGACACGTCCCAACCGAAGAATCTGACTAAAAACGTTCCAATCATACTATGTTGTTTATATCATAAACTGAACTTAGATTTTAAAACTTTAAGATTTGGTCAGCACAACAAATGTTGATAGAACTTTGTTTTTGACTTATGTTTGAGTAAACATCTTAAATTAATAGGCCACTGTAATGGATACATTAAAATTGAATCCAATAATCCAAATAAAGGTTTCAATCAATGGGTATAACAATCGATTATGAGCAGAGACTGTCAGCACATATTTTTTTATATAATTATATATTAAATATAATTAATTCACAACTAACATTTCATTGGGTATAAAAATGTATTTTGTTATGACTGATATTAGAAATAATGTACTCCCATTCTTCCAAGTACAAAATGTTTACTTTTATTGTTTAAAATATATATACATAGACTGAATCTTGCTTGTCTGACATTATTGCTATGAATAAATGGATGAAAAATCCAAGTAAGACAAAATATCTACATTTTTTTCTCGTTAATATGAATTAAAAAACGTATACAAACTTAACTGGTTAGTAACAAAAGTGAAGTTTTATAACTTTAAAACTTTACCCCTTACATCTTAGCACCTAATCTGGCTAACTTATCAGCCTCTTCATTACCAATAATCCCTTTATGGCCAGGCACATATGTCTAAAAAGAAAATCTATATCAAACTTGAAACAATGTTTAAAAAAAATTATATTTATATTACCCAGCTAACAGAATCCATAGACTGTATTCTTTTATTTAATATCATAAACATTTCTTTGTTTTTTACTTCAGCCCCTGCACTGGTTTTCCATCCTTTAGCCTGCCAACGTGGCATCCATTCATTGACACTTTTAATGACAAAATCCGAATCTGTGTGTATACTTATTCTAGTGAGACCTAAACATATAATAATGTTTGGAAAATTTGCAAAAATAATATTTAAACAACATACACGGAAATTACCAGTAGAATTAACACGTTCAATTGCTTTAATAGTAGAAAATATCTCTGCATTGTTATTAGTTTGTGTTCCAGGTACTTTTATTGATAAATTCCTAATAAAAGTATGAATATCAAAATTAAGCTAAGACATAATTTATCACAAAAAACACTTACAGAGGATGATGATTTCCAAACCATACTCCTGCCCCTGCAGATGCTCCTTTATAGCCATTGTTTGAACAAGCACCATCCGTATAAACAACAACTTCATTTTTTTCATTGAATGTGAAAGATTTTTCTAAAATGTAAATAGTGCTAAAGTATGTTGTGTTTAAATTAACCTTACTTAATATGATTTGTTAAGTTTTGAATTTTCAACATTCTTTTGTACAAATATATTTTACTTATAAGTTATTACTAAAGAAGTCAAAAATCAAGCTTTGAAATAAGCTAACAACTATTTATTTAAATTATGCTACATTTAAGAACGGTTATAATTACTTGCTGATTCTAGTTCAGACGGGAGTAAGTCGGTACCATCAATAGCATCAATATTTGAAGAATATGAATCTTTTTCATCAGAAAATGTCAGGTTTTTATTTAATGGAGTACTAATGAAACATTAAAGAATTTAAAAAATACAATTATTTTTATGAATTTAATACAATCCAGGTATTTAAATGCAGTCTATGAAATAGTTAATTCTATAGATTTAAAGATATTTGCTTAAAACAATTATAACAAATTGTACTACCAAAATAATATTTCAGTTGAAGTGTATAAGAGAATTTGTTAACAAGAGTCCAGAAAAATTCACAGGAACAAAATAAATCATTCTTATAAATCTTTTCTTCTATGGTGCTCAAGATAATTATTTTACTTTATTTTATAGTAGACAGTCAACATTACTTTGTTGTAGTAACTAAGGACAAATCTTCTATGGATTCAGTTTCATTCACATTCAATATTTCATGAAGTTTACTAATAACTTCATCGTTTAAAATCTTCAATTGGTCTACACAGGTCACCGATAATCCTGAAAATGATGATACTGCAACTTGTAAATCACTGAATGCCGTTTTAATCTGAAGAAAATAGCCAAAAATTAGCAACTTGTTTAACATATTAAAATATAAATGCGGAAAATACTTTTTTTATGTGGTCTTTCACTGAGCTGATTGGGTGATATGGAGTATCGGGTCTTTTTCTTTTCACTCCTTTGAAGTGATCATTAGTGTTTTGTGTATTTTGCACAATCTTGAATTTGAAATCTTTAATATATTTTTCAGCCTCTATTCTTGTATCAAATTTCTTGGCATACGAATTAGGAGTAGCATCTCTCAACCCACGAGCCAACTCCCTATAAATCAATATTACAATAATTAAAAATCAGGGGCAGCCAGATAATGTATTTAACGTAGACAATCAAAAAAATAAAAATAAAAAACAGTATTCGGACTGTAATTCCTAATTAGAATTGAACCGTCACAAAACGTGGATTGACAAGGTAGGTAAGCAATTTGTTATATCTTTAGTCAAACGAATTTCTTCAGTATTATGCCCCGCGTTAATCAAGTACCAAGATTAATTTACCAGTTTTCGGCTATTGCACCGGATTTTGAAGTCCTGAAAATCACGGAGTAAAATGGCATCTTAAAGAAATGACAAAATATTCGTTTAATCGATAATAGATTACGGTATTTACAACCACTGAAATGCATAAAACTCGTGATTCGTCGCGATATCATAAAACGGAAACTTAGTACCCGCAGAGTATCGAGTATATTATTATATTTATTGTTAAGTATTTAAGGGACTTTAAAATTGCCTAGACATAACGGCCGTAACTCACGGTAACAAGGCTCAATACTAATTGCTCCAATTTTAAGCACCAAGTTCATTGATAAGATAGCACACAGCTGATAGTGGCAATTGGCCAATTAGGGATCATTTTACACCACGCTAGTACCATTTTTAATCGTACCGACGTACCACAGAAAAAATCATTTATTCTGTGATCGTACGTACTACCACAGATAAAATAAAATTTCAAAATTGTATTTAATCTGTGGTACCTACTACGTTACGGGCGTAACACGATTGCGGACTTTTTACCTTTTTACCTGAAAAAAACATAACACGATTGCGGACTTTTTACCTTTTTATATTTGAGGAAAAACAACACGATTGCGTGTTAAATATTTTTATTTTGAGAAAACACAATTTTTATGTTCCTGTAATTTATTGTTTTTTAATTTCAAAATCAACTGAAACTTATATACAAATGTGGCACACAATTATTAATTTATGTTTAAGATTAGACATAGATATACAAAAATCGTTAAAGTATTCAAATTTTCATTTTGATTTTGAAAAAAGTGCTCACAACGCTGTTAGACATTTTTTTCCAAACTGCAAAATTATGGCCTGCAAATTTCATTTAGGCCAATCTTGGTTCAGGAAAATTCAAAGTGACAGTAATTTATTAAAAAATTATAATTCAAATTCTGAACTAGGTGTTTGGTTGAAACAATTTTTTGCACTTGGATTTTTACCTTCGGAAGATGTAGAAGATGCTTTTACTTATTTAATTGAAAATAGCCCTACTGATAATTTTGAATTCACTGATTATAAACTGAACAATTATATATCATCTGATGCCGTTTTCCCACCGATTTTATGGGCAACTGAACCTTCAACAGAGGCAAGAACGACCAATGAGCCAGAATCATTCCATAGTCACTATAATTCTCAGTTTTATACGTCTCATCCATCTATTCACCAAGTTCTACATATTTAATTAGATATCCAAAGTGAAACTTATTTAAAAATATATAGTTTAAAACAAAATAATATTAACAAGCCTCGTAAAGATCAAGAAGAGAATATTGCATATATAATAAATACTTGGCAAAAATATAAAAAAAAGAAATATCTTTAAATAATTATTTGCTGACATTAGGACCACGTTTTTGTGCAAAAAAGTTATAAGAACTTGATTTTTGTTATGTATATAGGTATATTTTTTTTTTTTGACACGTAATAATAAGTTACTGTGATTTATATACATATATTTTTACTAATTTACTAATTTTTACTACTATTTTTACTTATTTTTTTTACTTATTTTACTAATTTACTATTTTTAATTTTATTAATTATTATTATTATCATCGTTATGAGTACATCTTAATTCTTTATATTATATGATTTTTTTTTACATACTTATTGAGTTACTATTAATGTTGGTAAAATTATTTAAATATTTGTGTTTGCTCAAAATAAAAATCGTGTTGTTTTTCCTCAAATATAAAAAGGTAAAAAGTCCGCAATCGTGTTGTTTTTTCTCAAATATAAAAAGGTAAAAAGTCCGCAATCGTGTTATGTTTTTTTCAGGTAAAAAGGTAAAAAGTCCGCAATCGTGTTGCACCGGTTTCAAATTAGTATCCAAAATGTACAACTGTTCGGGGAAATGTTTGTTCTACGACCAATTGTTCATGTCCCACCTTCGACCTTCCACAACCAATTATGTGTACATTTACTACATTTTATTATTAACTATTTAGTAGGTTGTTCATTCGCTTCACAGTTCATGTAGCCCACCTTTTTTCACCCACACGTTTCATACGGTTTACTGGTTCAATTCGATTCCGCAGTCCTTGCAGTTGGCAACTAATTGAAAGTCCATTAAAAATCTTGCAAGTCCACCAGTAAGGATTTTTCAAAGCTTGGTGGTTCATCTGTTATATTTTAATAGCTCGAGTCAATCACACATAGTCGTAACTAGACCTTAAGTTTTGACCCTAGCATCTTTATAATTAGTAAAAAAATTGTGTGGCTCTGCAATCCACACCCCCAGAACATGTTACATTAATTGTTACTAAATGTAAATAAAATTCAATCAATATTTTATTTTATTATTACCTACAGCGTGTGTAGTTATCAAAGTAAAACCAGTCGTCCGTCGGAGGACGTTACTATTCCTAATTTATAATTTCTACATAAAGAAATTGAACAGGAAGAAAATAAAAAAAAACTTTGGGTTCATCATCTAAACTTGAAAAGAACTAAAAATAATACAATTAAATGTTTTGTTCGTGAACTTCGAAATGACGAATGTACATTTAGAAATTTTACACGAATGAGTACCGACACATTTGATTACATTTTAGAAATACTTTACGATGAAATTCGAAAACCTGATACTAATAAACCATGGTTGGAGCAGAAAGGGATAAATCATAAATGCAGGATTTCATAGAAATTTGGAAAAACAGATTTTTGAACAACACTTTTGGCCTCTTTATTAAAATCATCTAACCAACATTTTTGATTTTTATTCGGTTTCATTTTTTTTATATTTATTAAAGCCTGAAAACATAAGAAAACAAAATTTGACCAATTTAATAATAAAAATGATTTAGACCAGAATTCGAACTATCAGACTCAAGCACACAACCGTTGTACTTTTGGAGATCAAAGGACGATGATAAAATAATAAAATAATATAAAATCCTATTCTGCTCTTAGCAAAGGACCTCGAGGTTAACCTAGGCGAACGACTGGCGCTGCGATCGTCACCCGGACCGTCCGGTCATCGTTACTCGTTATCGCTGTTTTATACATTAATGTAGGTAACAAAAATAAAATCTTGAGTCTATTCTTTTAGGCGAAGACAATTTTTGTGTTTACTTTAATGACAACTACACAGACTCATCACATAAAAATTATATTATGTAGTTAAAATAGAAAAATAAAACAATATTTGAAATTAAAACTTATTAATGTAGCTACCGTTGGTAGGAGTAGAGGAACTATGACGGGGGGCTGAAATCAAATTTTAGGGGCTAATCCCCCCCCTAGTTACACCTATGCAACCACAACCAACATTTTAAAAGTTAGCCGAGTTGGGTCTTACAATAAATTACTTGCCAATTAAAAGGAATAGATTTGTATCATTTTCGAACGAATAGATGAAAAAAGGTGAGCTACGTAAAGTTGCCCCCGCTTTTTTTATTTTTATTCCGTTCAACTGAAAATAATGACTAGCAAAGTCGTGAGTCGTTTAAGAGGTCTGGGCAAACAACCAGGCAACTCCTATTTTTGCTAAAATCTGGTTTTAATTAAATTTGATACAGCAAAAAATTAGGAGTTTGTCTGTACAAGAACGAGACAAATCCAACCGCCCGTATAGGAAATATAGAGTGACCGGGAGCTGTCTGGTGTTTTCCTCCGTTGAAAAACCTGATAGCTCCGGAAGTTTTTTTAATTTTGAAAAATGGAATTTTCAAGAATACCTCTCCATTTTTAATTAAGAAAAATTTGAAGAGTATGTCTGTGTAATAATAAAACAAATTCGACCACTCGTATAAGAAATGTAATGTAACTGGGAACTGTCTGGGTTTTTTTCTTCAGTTGAAAACCCAGATGGCTTCTTATAACACCGGAGATGTTATGTTATGTAATGTTATGTTTCTTGAAAAGTTTTGAAAAATGGAGCCGTCTAGTGTCTGGTTCTTGCAAGGACCCCTTCAATTTTAAAACCTGTTTGGCAAATTCTTGTTAATTATGGATGTAAGTATTACAGAGGTTGTAATTCAGTTGGCTAATAGTAGGTCAAAGCAGGGGCGGATTCAGCTCCTCAGATATATTATTTCTCAAATTGTTTTTATAATTATTACCGTATGTACTATAATAGTTAGAACCATAGATACGAGCATAGGCATAATATAATATATTTCTATCATATGTCTTTGATTAGAACTATGTAAATACAATCAATAATGTATTTATTACATTAAGATGATACTGAGATTGGCCCACTTGCTGCTAAGCAGCCTAAGCTCCTTACAGGGTCACTAGGAATGTCAAAAGCTAATAGCTCAGTTACTAGTGGATTGCAATGGTTTTGTTGAAGGAAATGAAATCTTTTATGTAAGATTGTTGGTCACTTTTTAGACAAGAGTAATAGAAGTGTGTGATTAGAATGTTAGATACATAGTATATGAGAATTAAATTATTAGTTGGAAACAGCTGGCCTGGAATGTTTGGATACAGTTTATATTGTATGGTTTGATTGAATGCAAGAACTGGATTCCGTTGGTCCATATGGGTTTGAGAAGGGTACATGAATATTTTGTTATTAAAGTTAAGGTGCCTTGAGGTAAGTTTGTAATAAGGAATTACAGTTGGCAAAATCCATTGTTTAAAGTGAATTTTTTGTTCAGGTTGTGAGAACCCCATATAAATCCTAGTTAAAGTGGATTCATTTTTAAATAATTTTAATACAAAAATACAAATGTAAGAATATTGGGCAACAAACGCTCCGAAAATTATAATAAATCAAAAATCAAAATACAATAATATGAATATTAATAATATTCAATAATTAATTAATTAATAAAAATAAATAATAATACACATAATACATGAATTCGGTAATACAAATTAAATACTTAATACACTTAGAGAAATAGATATTAGTATACCTAAAATAAAAAATGTTCTATACAGATTTAAATATACCAAGTAAATAATACATAATGATATTCCTAACATAATGTAAATAAAGGTTAAGTCGGAAAAATAAAACTATTGCACACAATATACCAATTATTCCACTTAACTTTTGTATTGTTTAATTTAGTATAATAAAATACATTTTTACTTTCTCTTATATAATTTAAATACACACTATAACAAACAAAAATGTACAATAACAATGATGTAAAATATAATAATATAATTTTATTTGTTATAGAGATGTAAATATTTTAAATTAATTTGCACTTTAAAATACAACATTTTTATAAGTGTAAACAAAATTAAATTGTTAAACTAGAAAATGTAAGAATATTAAAATGTCTATTATGTGCTTTTTTTTAACTTATTTAATATTATTAATTTAGTTTTATACAAAATATTTTAAATGTGTTTGCTCATTTAAATGTCTTTTCAACAAATAAATTGGTATGTTAGTTACAATTATAAAATTTATAAATATACTGATACGATATTATTACAGTTTTTATTAAGCCAATAAAATTAATGAAAATAATATATGCAATTAATATTGAAATAATTTTAGCTTTTCTGTTTTAAGGAACTTTATTAGTATATTATAGAAATCTTATTGACAACTATTTATGAAACTTGTTAAGTCTATAGATAAATAATAATTTAACAATAATAATTTTACTTAGTCATTATTATGTTTTGTTTATGTATGATAGTAATTAATAACTTTATATTAAATATTACTTTTGTAAAAAAGATTTTAAAAAAAGTCTTATTTAATAAAGATTGTAATTTTGAAATAATACCTGTGTGTGTCTGTGTATGTATGGATATCTATTAATGTACTTCAATACTAATTATTAAATACTCAACTGAATTATTTTTAATTTTGCACATCTGTTTATTTTTAATTATCATTATTAATATAATAGTCATTTTTATACAAATATATATTTGTAAATTTGGTATGTTTTCTTTAAATAAATTCACATTCAAAATATATTTTATCAATATAGTATAATTCTTTTTTGACAACGTTTGATTTAACAAATATTAATGCTCATTTGTTTATTTTTCTAGTTAATACAAAAAATATTAAGCTATATTATTCATATTCAATACAAAAAATAAAACATTAACAGTGATTAAAAATATAAAATTATTTGGTAATTTTTATGTGTGTGATTGTTTATCAATAGTTTTGGACATCAACATAATATATTTATAATTCCAATAATAATAATAATAATAATAATAATAATAATATTAATTATAATAATAATAATGATGATAATAATAATAATAATAATAATAATAATAATAATGACAATGATAATACTAAGTAATAATGATGATCAACACAAAATGACGTATACAGGAAGTACATTCAACATTAAAAAAAAAATATATCTATACTCCGTTCAACTTAAGAAACATGCTCGGCGACCAAATTGGGCCACCTTACTATACTTACACAGAAGTTCCACAAATGATTGAAATGGTGTGAGTAACAAACAATTATTGCTTGGCAAACCCCTGATAAAAATTGGTCACCGTTTAATATGTTTATTAAGTTGAACTGAATATGTACCTATAATGGACGGATATTTATTTGCAAACTTTACTTATTTGAAAATAATTATATTAGACTGTTAGAAATAATACAAATCAATTTAATCAAAAACTATATAAATTTATTTATTCTCTATTTAACCTTTAGTGGTAGACTACCAGTATATCAAATATACTAAAATGTTGAGTATATGTAAGTTATAAAATAGTATGTAATAATATCACAAAACCAGTCACTAAATGTACATAATATATTGACATAAATAAATAATTTTTTTTTTATAAAGAAATAATTAAATTAGATCAGATTTAAGAAATAAAAAAAAATATTTACTAAAAGGAAATTTGTCTATTTTCAGTCTACATATTTTGTGTGATATTGGAATGTTAAGGTTATAACCAGATTATTTTGGATACCTATCATTTCATAAAAGTGAATATTATGAATTTTTTTTTTTGAGATCAGAAGGAAATGAAACAATTTATTGAACTAGAGGATTCTTATATTGTTATAAACAGAAATTTAGCAATTTTGTTTAATAAAAATGAGTTTTTCTCCAGGGAAAAAATTGATTTAAATGTTGTTTTAAATTGTCATTATAAAACAAACATTCACAAAGAAACTTTTTTATATTTTTATGTAATTTGGGCTATTAAATATTTTAGGTAATGCAAACCAAGTAGCATAGAGTAGTATTAAATTAAGTGTCACCCTGTAATCATTTGATAGTATTAATTTTTTGAGTTTAACTATTTTATAAAACACACATACTAAACTACAACAATTAAACATTTGAAAACATGAAGTGGAAGACAAATGATCTGACATCATAAATAAAACTAATTATTTATCATTTCATTTATTTGGAATGCTAATGTCCTATTAATTTAACAAGCTCATTTCTTAAGCTCATTTATTTTTTAGACACATAGTTAATTTCTTGAGAAAAAGTGACAAATACCTTTTATTCTTATGGGTCTGCAGTACTAGTAGACTCATTTGCTACTTGCAAAGCTAAACCTGCAGTCAAATCTACAACTTCATCTTGGTCGTCTTCTTCAGAGGTGTTAACTGTGGTAGCGGCACTATGCGCTGATTGTTGTGATCCACTAGATAATTGTGACGTTCTTGATAAAGAACCTCGCCGAGGTGCTGACATTGTGGTTCGCTGATTAGCTGGTTTTACAGTAACAATCAGATTATGACTATTAGCTACCATCATATCTGTTACCTAGAATTTTAACATATGATGAATATTAATACTAGTATTATACTGTAGAGTATATCAAGAGGTATTGGTGGTACAATATTTTTCTTCTCTATAAAACACTACTAAGCACAATAAAAAATCTTAAGAGGCTGTTTTTAATTCAAACCTTAAGTTTCATGCAGGGACGCAGGGTTAAAAATTTGAAACAAATAATAAAGGTTTAAAATATTATTTCTAAGGTTTCAATTAAATTTTAAGGCAAAAGCAAACAGCTTTTTCTGGCCTCCACACGAGTTGTTTTCAGCGAGGCCCAGTAATCTTTCGATATTAATTTAAATAAATAAAAAAAATAAAAACTATTCTTAGAATGGACTTAAAGTATAATTATTATTTCAAATTTATCCTATATTTAAGTTTAAATGTACCTGGTCCAAAGTTTTTCCAGCCACTTCAATGCCATTTACTTCTAAAACCTCATCATTGACGGCTAAAAGCCCAGTACTTTCAGCCAAGCCTCCAGGAACTAATCTGGAAATAAAAATACCAGGAACCTTTTCCACACCAGAAGGACTAACTCGCACACTAGTGCCATCTCTAATATAGAAACCTAATGGCCGTTCTGAACCATGTTTAAGTAGTCGAACTCGCCGACATGTGTCTGGAACTACGTCTACATCTATGATAGCGGACACCTAAAATAAAAATTATTACATAAAAATTTAAAAAAAATTATAAATGACAAATAATTCATTTTACCTGTCGAAAATCCTGAGGGTTTGATATCCAAAGATGTTTTGCTTTGCTAGGTGTACCACCCAAAATTGATGATATTATATTTCGAGGCCTATAAGTACCATAACCATTCAGTTCTTCAAGACTTTCACCTGAAATTACAATAAATTAATGTTAGGATGTTAAATTATTTAAAAATCAATATAGTCATCAGACGGTTACTAACTATTAGCATGATGTTTCTTAAAAAACTTATATCTAATTTTGTTGATTCACCTACTCTTCTGGCGAATATCAACTTAAGAATTCCACTCTCTTAAATGTTATTTTTCTCCGCCACTACATAATTCTCCTCTTTACCATTTGAAGCATCCTAACAATGAATTCTTTGTTTTATAGATATTAGTCGAAAATAAAAAAAATAGTAATCGAACATTTCATTTGCTTATGAATAAGTTCAACATGAGTCAAAATATTTTGAAAATTGTATGGTGTAAAGAAAATTCTAACACAAGAACACTAGAATTACAATAAAAACCAAAATAGATTTTTTCAAAAACTGGTTTTTCGTAAAAATTCACGTTTTTCCCGTAACGTTTAAAAACTATCATGAGTTTAAAGTTTTGACCTCGAGGCCAACTAGATTCACTTTCCTACCAGAAAAGTTACTGTTGAAGAAAATAATAAGACACAAAGATAAAAAAACACACATCATTGTAAAATCAATTCATCGCTCCACTCAGAACCTAAAGGAGATACAATTAATAATTAATTTTACACACAAGATATTTTTTTAACACAATCGTAGACCAAGCTCAATTCAGAACATCGTTTTCGTAGTGTTATCATTTGACATATTATAATGCAAGGACAATTGTTCATTATGGAATTTCAAAGTTATAATTTTTAAACAATGGTATGTAAAAGGGGCCGAGTAAAAATATTCTGTACCTTTTATCATAGTATAAGGAGTATTATTTATTTATTGTTATAATAAACTTTATAATTATAGAAACTCACATTAAATATTTTTGATAAAATGATAAATAAAAATTTTTATGTGTCATAATTTTTAATACATTTATAAGTGATCATGACAAATTCATTTGTAATGTTTATTTTATTTTCTTGTACTAATGAGCCATTAGCCGAAAATAACTTTTTTTCAATAAAAAAAAAACAAACAATATAACCTATTAAAGTTATTTACAACTAATAATTGTTAAATATATTTTAAGCTTGATATTATCACATATTTCATTGTTAGACACTTAGATATTGTCTAAATTGTGGTTTACTATTTATAGATTTAGACGAAACTGAAAATAGACCAAGGATACAAGCAGGAAATATTATGTTCTATTATAAATTAAACAATACTAAAGTCAATAACGATTTAAAAAAATTGAAGGATCCAACTGCTTTACAGTATCCTTATGCGGCCAATAATAGTAAATGTATTTATGTAGGTACATTAAAAAGGCATGGCCACTCGCCATTGCATAAAATATAAAAAAATAATCTATGAGAGAAAAATGTTAGAAAAAATATTGGGTCCGTGTTTGGACAATAACACTAGAGACTGGAGAATCAGAAAAAAATAGGAGATTAAAGAACACTACAAGTGAAAGTGAAATAAGGAGTTTCAAGAGGAGTTCAACGAGCTTTCCATAATAAATCATAAAATTAAACATAAATATGAGGAAAATACCGAAAATATTAATATGCCCAACACCCATGGTCATATAGTGCCAAGGTCCTACAAGAAAATACTGTTCCTATAAAGATCATGGCTGCAAGGATTCATTCCCCAAACTAAAAAATATATAAATAAAGTAAAAATTTGCATTACAGTAAAATATATTGGTACAGACATAATATAAGAGTATGTAAGTTATATCTTGTCTTATAAGAATGTTTTATAATAATATATTATTATAAAATGTTAGTATTTTTCTAAATAATGACTTGAAAATTATAGCGCTCCAGAAAGTTCAAGTGCTTTGAATCAGGCGAAGCATAGCTGTAGGTTTAGTGTTTACGTACTGATATCAAATATATAAAAAAATTGTGTTTACTGCGTCGTGAAATAGTATGTAATATGTATATATTTGTATAGTCGTCTATACAGTAAACAAGTTTTGCATTTATATAATAATATATTGGCAATATACGATAGCCGTTTACAGGAGACAGGACACGTGCAATGGACAATGGTCAACGAGACAAAAGTACGAAATAGGACGCGAGTAGTCAATCTGGAGGCCGGAAACTGGTGCCTGTCGACGCGTTGTACAACAACATGCGACAATATAATAAAAATAACAAAATACCCGCGATCTTGTGCTTTAAATTCGAAAACAGTTCCTGTCATCGCGTCCTTGTGTAATTAGCGAGAGATAAGTAGGAATTTGTTATGCAATATAATATCATATAGGCTGTTCTTAGTGTAGGCACTCGGCGATCGGTATGCTTTGAGACATGACTCACTGATTAGTGATCATCACGGTTCATTATCGCCAGACACCCAGACATTTACCATCGCCGAATAGAAAACTAACCGTAAATCGTAATGGCAAGTTCCGTTTGCGTTTTTCGACGGTCAATATTTCCGACGACGCGCGCATAAAAAAACCTTCTACCTAATTTAATGACTTTAGGAAACAAAACTCGTTTGCGTGAGAAATTCCCTTGGATTTGAACTGTCAAATGTTTGTTTTTCCTTTCTTCCTAGCTACGACCCGTAGTTCCACATTAATTAAAATTCTTCACCGACCACTAAATAATTACAGATCATTGCCATACACGAACGCTGTTGTTTGCTCCTTGAATAGACTTGAATGGGAGAAATAAAATAAATTACTCATGTTTTATAGGCTTGTATCACCAATATCTACGAATAACGTTTTTTTCAAAAGAAACATCATTGTACTAATTACTAATATTATTAATTTAGATTGTTTAGTTAAATAAACTCTATGTAAAAAATCAAAATGTTAACTAACAAAGCTGATAACTATCTACAGGGCTAAGAGATCGAAAAATGAGCATTAAAAAAATTCATTTATGACAAAACAAACAAAAATGCAATAAACATAATGAAAAATGTAATTTTAAAAAACCAAACCAAGGTACCAATATACCGGTCTAAATATAGACCCCGGTAGGTTTAATATTTACGAAAATTACTCCTAAATTAATCATTCCAGAAAAAAAGATGCAAATGCACTGAAACCTGAACCCTACTGATAACTGAGTTTAAGTTATTACTCAAATAATAATAAATTTAATCAAATATACAATTTATCTTTAGTGTTTATTATAATGTTTACATAATCTGATATATTATAATATTATATAATAAACAATCACCTATACAGAGAATATGAACACAATCAAAATAATTGTTTGTATTCATCAGAAAAAAATAAAAAACATCCTTTTTTTATTAAGATGCCATACCCACACGTTTGTTAGAACTCTGAAGAAATAGCTTACTAAGAACAAATTTGTGTATAATATATTATATGTACAAGGTTCATAATATTACTATTCAATATTCACCTCAGATAAATTAGACTGATAATAATATAAATGGCATACTATTTTCACTTAACAACTCTTTTCTTGAAGTGGTTTAAACCATAAAAGGAATATTACAATATACCGATAGTTACAACAAATAAAATATCACAAATTAAAATTTAGAAAGTAATTTTCAATGAAATTAAGTTTCTTTTTATGTTGAATGATAAAATATTAAATCAATTTCATATTAAATAAATACTATTTAACAAAGCATAAATTACATTATTTGTATGCAGTAAATTAATTATATGGGTACATAAATTCAGAATATTGGTAACTAGTTTTATCATAATTCTACAAGAAGTACATTTCATAAAAATGCAACTTGCCGACAGTCAGTCCCCTCTATAATTTTATGTACGGACAATTTGTACTCGCCATTTTTTACAGCAGCACAATTCATTCATTTAAGTTGGGTATAACTAAATATCTTTAATGAACAAAGTTGTAATATAATCACATTTTTGAATAAGATATACAATTTTTGATGTGTTTTAAATTATAACTTCTAAAGTTAATATTAACTATTTTTAGCATTTGGTTTTAAAAAAAATATTTTTTTAATTATTTGTTAGGTTAAACCATTTAGACCTTAGATTATAATTTATATCTAAAAAAAGCCAATACAATATTTGCTATGTTGTATAATATATAAAAAAACAACATCACTATCCAGTACACGAGTGTTTCTTAAACTTTTAGAAATCACGGAACACCAAACAATAATATTTTTTTTGCGAAACCTCTATGAAAATGATATTCAAAAAAGGAGGGTACACAAAAGATGGAGATAAAAGGCAAAATAAACAACTCACTAAAAACAGAAAAATGTAATTAAATTATTTATTTGGGAGGTATCATAGCATTAAAGAAGAAACATTATATCTGATTTTAATAACAGAAAAAAATAAAATAAAATTAGTGTGTGAACTTGAATAGGATTATGATTAAACACTACTGACTAAAATATAACTTCAATGAATATTTTAATATATTTTTTTCCTCGACTTTTTCTGATTATTATTTTAATTATATTAAGTGCAATATATGCTTTTTTTTCAAGAGGACCGATTGTCCTTGATCCATGGTTTAAATTTAAGGACAAAAATGGTTTCAACAGAGCTAAGGGTTATAAGTTAGTACCAATAAATTTACATTACAAATAAACAATCTATATAACCTTAGATTTAAACTTGCTTTTATTTTAAGTAAAAACCATAATACAGTCGACCTACTCAAGATATTGTATTTTAAACTAGATGAAAAACATTGTGTAACCATCATTGTGTTTGGATTTTATACTGAAAATTGACAGGAACTCCGCCCTAACACCTGCCAACTTATTTCAATGGTTCTCAGAACAATGAAGTCACTTGATCATAAATTATTGTTTATCTTTAGACAATGGAGATTAAAGAGCATATATTATACGGGCACCATTTAGACGAAATGTTGTGGTTATTGAAATAGAATACCCCTGAGTATGTAGATCAATAGACAATAAAAGACAATTTTTTTTAAGCATGCACTATAATGTTAATTTTGCTATGATATAAGGCACCTATACTAAAATTAAATAATGAACAGTAGAATTTTTAAATTTTAAATTATAAATTATAAATTATTCAATAGTTAAATTTTTAGACAGAGTGATTTATATAATTACCAATTATTATTTATGTATAAATTTGAAAAATGTTCTGATATACCTACCAAATAAAATGGAAATACAGATAAGAAAAAAATGTATGAAGTTTTTAATTACATATAATATATTAAACTTCTATAAGTGTAGCAACAATATTACTAAAGGCCCTGTTGGAAAAATGAATCAAAACTTTAACAAAGTCGCCTAACTCCTATAATTACTCAAAAAATTTTATCTTGAAAGAATATTAACTGTGCACTTATTTTTCTTGACTATACAAAACTATAGTAAGCACTGAGGCAGTCACTTTTATTTTTATTTCGTAACTTTTTTTTACAAATGTATTAATAATAATTTATGATATTGGGCTTAAACATTTTTAACATTATTTACAATTTAATTAATTTTTAACAGAATGGAGTGGTAATTTTTTATTCACCTTGTACCATGTAAAGCGTACAATTTATATTTTAAAAACAGAAGTATTTACAGTCAAATAAATAAGCATAATGATTGTGAAACAGAATATTAGTTATTAATTATAATGCATAATGCAAAAACCAACAAATTTCCATCAAGGGCCATATAAAAGATACAAACTTAAATATTGGAAATTTCTATAACAAAACTTCTAAGCCAAATATGTTCCAATATTGGCAACATTACTAGTGAAACCCAAAGGAAGCATAAGACATCTTAGCTAAAGACCTAGTTAAAAATCATATAATTACATTAGTAGAATGTAAAATTAAGGAAATTATACTATTTTATATTACTTCCTCACCATTTTTACCCTTAATTAAATATTCAACATAAGATGGAAGACAAGATTAACCAATGTGGAGTTCCTAAAAGAAGATTTTATTGGACTTTCTGAAGTAGAAGAAATACGCCTGAAGCAATGGAAGAACAGATAATTAAAGGATTTCAAAATGAATGGATCGATAAATTTAGTTATTTGATTAGCCAGCACAGCACATGAAAATATGAAATAAAATTTCATTAAATGGGTGTTATGAGGATGCACAATGCAAATCCATGTTCGAGGAATATCTTGGAAGCTAAGAAACAGTTAGCTTAGTTTTATATTGACGTACATACATATTGTCAACAATTTATTTTTTATAATTTTTTTCTTAGAAAATGTACAATCTGTATTTACAAAATACAATAAGTACTTTTGATGGCATGTACACTTATATATAACAATAGATAAACTTGATTTTAATTTTATTTGAACTAAGAGATCACGACACTAGCATACGAGGCAACAAGAGGGATTTTAGGTGTGTATGAGAATAAAAATTAATTTAAAATCTAAATAACTAAAAGTATTACCAGAAAGTGATTTTGGAAAGGCTGTTCATTTGATAAGAATCTCATAAGAAAATATGGGTAAGATCAATGAAAACTTTTATATTTTATTGGACAAGCTAATTCTAAAGCATTACAATGGAATGTGATGCCTTAATATAGATGAAATGAGTCAACAAGAAAAGTAAAAAGTTTTAAGATGAACTATGTTAAGATCAAAAGTCCTTCAAAAGGAAATCATTTTGAAATGCAAATTTTGTATAGGTGCAATGCCACACAATTAAAAACAAGAGGTGTTGGTCTTGGTGCAAAAAGTGATTTATTTAGTTGTATTATACGACTCGGGACAGTATCCGATATCCAGGGGCTTCATAAAACCTAGTTCCACCACCATAATCCTACCCATTTATTTTTAATAATACAATATAACTTATGTAAAACTACAAAATATTAAGTTGAATTTTGTTTTAAGAAATCTTACCTTTACGCTGTACAATTATCCTTAGCAATGGTTTGGCTGTTAAAACTGCTCTTCCAAGATTATCATCATTGTTGATTGGTAATAAATCTCCATCTTTTGGGTCTGTATACGACAGTACAAATGGCACCTCAATTAACTTATGTAGACGTTCGATAAGAATTCTGAATTGTTCGTAAGTGCCAACGTCTGTTTTGGGTAACGAGATACGACGGAACTCGGCGTCAAACTGTAAAACAATATAAAACTGTGTAGTGATTGTAAACAAACTCATCATTCCCTGTATCACATACTTTGCTTTTGATTTCCAACTTTGTCATCATCGGACGATCTCGTTCCATCTAAGTGTCAACTACTAAGTGACGGTGTCATTATATCACCACCTCCGCGATGATGGACTCATCGGCCGTTGGAAACAGCTTGGAGGTTCAAATACACCTGTTGCACAATGTCATTACAAGTCCACTTTGGGGCGTAAAAAAAAAAGGCGTATCAAATATCGCTCGAAGGGACACTATATCAGAGGTATGAAGTAGTTACTACTACTTACTAGGCAGTAGGCACTATAGGTACTTAGCGGCGGACTCAGCTTGAGGAAGGAAATAAAAACACGTAATTACGTGAAACGCTGTGGCTAGACAGTAACTACTAACACGGAGTGGAATGATAACAGACGATCCAAACAGTGCGGCTACAGGAGAAAACGTTAAACTCCCGCCGGTTATCAATATCGTCCGGTTTACATGTCTTATCATATTATGTATTGAATACTCTTATTTAATGGTACTTAGTAGTTTGTAGTTTGTAATATTTTGTTGAAGCTTAAAGCCATAATATACGTACATTATATTTGAATCTGTGGATTGTGAGTTTAGACACCTTACTATTTTAAATATTTTTGAAAATTAACACCGAGACACTGACATAGACTCTATCAGCACTTATTAAGGATACGGGTACACAACATTCGTAGTTACCACATTTCTTAAAAAAAAATTGTGCAAAGATGTCTGTCAAATTAATTGGTAGAACAACAAATTTGTATGGTAAGACGCTCTGGGAAATTTTAGGCAATCTGAGAACTACAGGTGTTGGTCGTCTGGTAACCAGGAACTCTTATGATCGATACGAAGAACCTAGCTTTTTCAAAATCTTGTCAGTCGAACCCACTGCACAAATAGTAAGTAATAATTACAACCTAAGTTAAAAATTATGTGACATGCACTTTGTTATAGGAAGACAAACCAAGAAAGACAATAGTTCAAGTTGAGAAAATATTCCGAGGTAAACATTATAAAGAACCCGTTGAAATATATAGTGTTTCGTATAAACCTGATTATCGATTAATACCCAAAGATGAAGAACAGTTATGGTGGGATCGATTGGCCAATTGCAAACCACGAGAGAAGCTTGTACCTGGATCTATTGAGCTACCACCACTTATGAAAGTTAGTATAATTTCTTTTCTATCTATGTCTACCATTAACTAAATCAATATCATTGTACTTTTTGTTTTATAGTTGGTATTAGAACGAGAAAACAAAGATTCTAATATTAAATTGCAATTAAAAATAAGAGGTGGTCGAGATAATATTGCTCAATCAGACACAACAAAAATTGCATCATACAGTCCAAGTTTTTTCAAAAATCAACAAAGTAGTTAATAATTAATATGCACTGTATTTATAACTTAACATAGTTTTTTTCTCATAAATATTAGAAGAATTTGTTTTTATTTTCTTTGTAATTATTTCTAATGTCTATTAATTCAACAACATACAATCTTAATAATTCCAATTTTTAATTTTCAATTCTTGATGTGTGGAACTCTAGGGTCATCTGGTCGGTAAACTGAAAAACAAAAATGTATAATTAATTAGAAACACAAACTGAATATATTGAATATATATAAGTGGAATGAAACAGTGGCATCATTTGGGGGAGGGGGGCAGGATAGGCATTTGCCCTCCCTGATCATTAGCAGACTGAGTATGGGCAGGTTTCTGGCTAGTTATGGTCCACAAGCTCATAAATATGATTTGTGCCAATGCTAAATAAAATTGAACCATGATTCATTAGCTTTCTACTAATTATAGGGTATCTGTATTTATTATTTATGTATATTAGATAGTAGAATTATAGTCAATGATATGGTTGTAGATATAATATATACAACCATAGTCTATGGTGTGTTGTGATACTAAACAGGTAAGGTCCTTCTGTGTTAAATGTTAATTATTTGACGTTTAAATTTTATATATTAGAAGAAGGCAGAAGAAGATAAAAATGTAATGTAATTGTTAGCGAGTGGTTTGTTTTTCAGTATTATAATGGGGAGGTCAACATTTTCCCCCTGTTCTCAAAAACTAAAATGACGCCACTGGAATGGAATGGGATTTATTTTATAAATTTAATGGTATTTACTATTTTCATATTTCACTATCATAAATCAATAAAAATATCATTAAACATTGCACTGTTACAGAAAACTGTTGTATAGTTAGAAAATGTCCAGATGTTATGAAAAAAAAATTTGTATTCATATAACATGGATACGTAACTTAACAATATTAATTAGTTCAATAGAATTTAGATAAGGAATTGGATATGGTTATCAATGGAAGTGTAAACTAAAGGTAAAGAGATGGAGAGTGTTTAGGCGCTTTAACACAGGAGAAAGAAGAAAAGAGAATTAATATATTATATAAGAATTAAGATATATTGGATATAAATAATGTGAAGTTGAAGAAGTGATGGAGAGCTGTTAAGAGAATAGTTGGGGAAAAGATAAGTTAATAATAAAAATATCACAAGTTAAATTTAACAGGAACAACAATACTATGCATACAGATTAATATTTATTATACGTACGGGTATATTTGAATTTATATTTTTTATTGTTTCCATCATTTTGTTCATATCTATAAGTATGGTACAAAATCAGCCCTAAGCCGACAACGCAGAATGGAGAACATATAGTAATCAATGGCATTTCATGCATAGCTTGTCGGAAAATGCCCTTGACTGCAAAAAAATGTTTGTAAATATTTGACGGTTTTTTTAGTTTAAATACTTACGTCCTGCTCCATATTTTTCGGGCTTTAGAATTGTATCGCATTTCATCTTGGTGTTTCAGGGTAGAAATTTAATTTAAACCAAAAATATTTATTAAGAAATCACGAAAAAATTTTTCCTAATGAATTCTTATCAAATTATATCTGTTGTTAGATTAAACATGAAGTTGGCAACAACCTTGTGTTATACCAGCTGATAATCGATGCACGAAATGGACCACAAATTGCATATTTGTTCCATGAACGTTTGTTCCATAGTTTCTTTACTCCACAAGATTTATTCTACCAAACATTTTGTACACAATGGTCACAATGTTCATTCATACATAATAATTTTGAAGTAAAGATTAATCAGAAAATAAATGCGCCGAAAAACATTTGAACTGCATTTTTGGCTTATGCATAGACCAGCACCAGCTATTAGTTAATACTTTAGAATATATTATGGTCTATGATTCCATGGGTTTATGGCTAGCAGGCTAGGTAATCTCTAGGAAGGTGGGTCTTGTTCACTCGCCGCTGTTCTACACATCTCTACCAAAAAAAAACAATATTTATACTGTTTATGCCCGCATTCAACTTGTTTCTCATCATTTTTCAGTAATACTGGCCAAACTAACATTAAGAAGGGTTGCCTGCATACCAACTACCTAGGTCTTAAAAGTGAGAACCTATACCCTGTACAGGTTACCTCGTCGTGGTATAGTCTGTGGACATTGGTCACCTTTGACGTAATTCCATTATATTTCAGCAGATGCAAGACTTTCATAGGTCCGATCATCAAAAAGACAAATTTAGTTAGATTCAGAGCAACTTGCGTCGGTTGCGTCTACTTCTGCACTTTTTTTGCAAGTACCTAATATGAAACCACATACAAATGCATGTACAAACTATTTCTTACATAATTTGTATACTTCAAACACTTTATTTATATGATATAATAAAATACAATATTGATGTAAGACAAAAATTATGTGATTATTAGGTACTACGTTTTTTATCATGTACATAGATATAATAATAAGAAAAGGCTTAATTCTCCGTGGTTATTTGTTCAGTTTTATAATTTCTATTATATTTTATCAAAAATATTCAACAAAATAATGAAATAGGTTCAGCAGGTTCAAAGGTCTATCCACCTTCTACATTGTGCAAAGAAGTGGAAGTGCGCAGCCGTGCACCCCGGTAAGTAATTACGCCACCGGTGGTCACTGTAATGAATGTGTTATAAACAATTAACAATTTACTACTCATTGGAAATTTGGAACTCAATAAGAAAATCATATTTGATATATTTAGTCCAATTTCATAATTCTTAAGTTAACACAATTCCACTTAAAAAAAATAAAAGTAGTACTTAAATTAAGTCCAGTCTAAAATTTTGAATGCGGTAAAGCGGTTAATTAAAAATATATAATAATGTCAATAATGTCAACAAAAATAAAAATTTCGTCAATAATAACAATAATTTTGCTAAAAATTAATAATAAATAATAATATTATCCTGAATATTATTTAAAAATTCCAATTTTAAATGGGGTAAATATTTAATAGGTACAAGTTTAGGTAATAAAGCCAAGTCTGATCATTTTATTATTCATATAATTTGTCATTTGTTCTATTTTTCGATTTTGTGTTTTTTGACTTTTTAGTTGACTTTTTAACTCATTTCTTTACTTCTCATTAAGTATAATTATACTTAGAGAAATAAGGGTACTCGTCCAATATGCTATCTACCGTAAATATTTTATCTACTGTAATTTTATTATAGTTTAGTATGATATCTACCGCATGCCCGTATGCTGTATATTAATATATTATACATACTTTAATACTTTATCATTTTGCAATTACAATTTGAGATTAAGAGGACGTGATACCCGCATGTGTTGTCTCCGTCTTACAAGTGCGTAACATAGCAAATTTTACGCTCAGCAGAAAACGTGTAGCTCCGTTAGTTTAAAAATTAATCCGAATTGACCTCTTATAAAATCTAATGGTAAGATTATTATCTAGTCAACCTCATAGGTTTTTAATTATATTTTAATTTAAACGCGAGTTATGAGTATTTTAAAATTGTAAATTTTTTATACATCTTAAAATACTCATAACTCGCGTTAAAATTAAAATATAATAAAAAACCTATGAGGTTGACTAGATAATAATCTTANATAAAAAACCTAAGAGGTTGACTAGATAATAATCTTACCTTTAGATTTTATAAGAGGTCAATTCGCACTAATTTTTAAACTAACGGAGCTACACGTGTTCTGCTGAGCGTAAAATTTGCTATGGTACGCACTTGTAAGACGGAGACAACACATGCGGGTATCACGTCCTCTTAAGCCTTTATTGAAACCCCAAATCATATTATATTTTATACCTTAGTAAGTTAGGTAGGCTAGTATTTATACCTTTATATTATACCTGTTAATGTGTGTTTGTGAGTCGTGTCGAATATACGTGGGTTTACTGTGATTTATTTATTATTAAATATTATTTAATAATTATTACTATGAGTTTGTCAACTATGAGTTATTTATATCGACACATAATTCAAAATGAAGAGATGTGCGAAATTTGTTTAAGTATATGCGGTTTATTACCAATCGACCAAACTTGTACAAAAATTAAAAACCAAGCAATTTGTGGTGGTGAGTTAATACAAGTTCTGAAAAATAGCCGAAAACGTGATTCGGAAGGTAATATTTTGAAAACAATTTATAATCGATGTACGAAAAAAGGATGCCAAACATTTTATTCCATACGCAAGAACAACAACTTTTTTACGTATAATATGGATAAAAATGGGAAGTGTAACAGACAACAGTGGTTTAAATTTGTTAAATTTGGTATTGGGTATTTCAAATAAAGGTAACACAAGCCGAGGTGTTTACGAAAATATCAAGATCAACTATAGTTGACTGGTATAGTGGTATAATTTATGTCGAGACGTAGCAGTAGCTGAATTTCAAAAACGTAAAAAATTGGGAGGTCCTAGCCTCGTTGTGCAAATAGATGAATCCTTGTTCCAAGGTAAAAAGAAATATAATCATAGAAGATTACGTCTTGGAGATCGCAAACCCGAGGAAATGTCAGATGAAAATTAAGAGAGTTCAGATGTAGACGAAGTAATAAATAATCAAAATGTCCGTAATTCAGGGGCCATGGATTTTTGGTTTCTATTGTAAGCTGATAGCATTTTAGAGAGACGTTTTTTTTTAAGTTGAAAAGCGTGATCGAAATACCTTACTACCAATTATATTAAATGAAGTTGAACAAGGTACTACTATATATTCCGATAAATGGCGTGCGTATTCTACTTTAAAGTTTAAATGAACATGGGTTCATCCACAAAACGGTTAATCATTCAGAAAATGTCATTAATCCAATAACTGGTGCTGAGACCCAAACTATAGAAACTCTTTGGAGACACGTCAAAAATAAATTTAACATTAAAACCCGGGGAGCGACTAACATATTACCATCACAACTTTAAGAAGGGTGGTGGCGCTCGTTACAAAAACCAAATGAAGACCTCTTCGAATCATTCCTCAGAGCGATCAGAAATACGTATACATAACTACACAGTATACAAAAATGACAGAGAAGAAATTCTGCATCCTAATTTACATTTAAATACGTGTTGATATCATACTTCATCAACAAAAAAATTACGGTAGATAAAAATATAAAATATTTACGGTAGATAGCATACTAAACCAACAAACGTGCGGTAGATAGCATATTGGACGAGTACCAAAATAAGTATACTTAGTATAACATAGTTAGTATAAGGTCTATGCTTGAATGTATGTTTTTGATTCAATATTTGGCTATTTCTTTAAACGCACCAATAAAAATATAAATGTTTGGACGTGCGGTATTAAATAAACCATTAACTTTGGGTGAAATTATTCACAACTAATACTAGGTATTTGTTGTATTTATTATGTTGCGGAAAATTCAGCAGAAATATAAAATACTAGGTGAGAATGTACAATATAATCTGATGCAACATAATATGTTGAAAAATAAAGTCTATGGACAATTTTATGTTTTCAGTTGCCAAGTTACAGAAAGCTTTGGCATAATATCTTCAATTAAACAATTATTACCTATGAATATCTTTAGCATTTAGGAACAATCGCTGTGTTGTCCGGCGTATTGTATAGGCAAAATAGGTGCATTACTGCATTGTTCAATATTGTTCATTATCACATTTTTAACTCATCTTCCACATCTTTTTTAATTGAGCTATTTGCTACAATTATATTTTTAATATTAAACATTATCATATTATAATATATATTATATATATTATTTGAAAATTAGCTTAAGTTAAACCGATATGATTTAATACTTAAATATATGTTAATATTGTTAATATAGAGTTGAAGCCTAACATTTCAAGTGCGCGTCCAATAGTCCTGAAAAGGACTGTTCACGGGTGACTCCGGTCTCCGGCCTATGAGGGTGGGAGTCCATTGTTTGTCGTATGATTGAAAAACCACAGGTACGACGAGATTGAAGAGGTTGAATGTTGATAGACTGATAGAGCTTTAGTTGGCTAACCGTCCTATATACATGCGCAACTATACCGTTTTTTTCCGTTAAAAAAACTGGAAACGGGTGGGAACTGTTTAGCACAATACTGCTACTCGGTCCCGTATCGTTTTTCGCCAAATACAGTTAAATTATAATCTAACTATACATATGAGGGAGCCTCTAACCACCTTGAAAAAGCTGGCCATCGCCCATTGGCCCATAAAATAAGCACATTTACAATTACCATTTGAAAAGTAGGGTGCTAATGTCACAGATCCGCGGAGGGCATTGCTTTTGTATAAATTACATGATTTTACAAGTTACAATTGTACAATAATCAATACTAGAAAACTTTCACCCAACTTCTTTAGAAAATAATACTTATCATTTTTGTACAGACATTTCGACTCAAATTTTCAGCACTCTTGCAATAAAGAAAAATCAAAATATTGATTAGGACCACATTGAGTTTTGTACTTAGGTTTTATGGGTCTACTATTTCATTCTTAAAATTCATCATAAATTATAGTTTCTATAAGTGTTTCCTGAAGTAATTTCTCTGATTTTTCAGTTTTTAGCTGTTAGCTATTAAGTGTGTTAAGATGTCCCATTTAATTTTTCTTAAATTATCAACAATACTCACAATTCACAAAACCAGTTCTTTAAGCCGAATAAAATCAGAAATAATGAAATTAATGTCAGGTATCTAGCATAAGAGTAACTGAGAGGAATGGACAGGAAATGGATAGCGCTTAATGATGTGTCACAAGGAATTAGTGACTGGAGACTGAGTAATTGTATAACTTCAGTAGACTTATCACTAAAAAAAACTTAATTAAGAAGTTAACCATTGATATTAAGGATGTTGTTCATTGATCCAGAAGAATGCTCTCTCTACTGTTGTCTTTTAATAGTAAACATTACGATAATCTAACAACTAATAAATACCAGATGCAGTTCTATCCTCATAATATGCTAGGGAATATTTTAGGCTCTTTGACACATACTTACTAATATTAATGTTATATTATTATATTTATATTTTATAATAGATTATGCAGTTACTCTATGAACTAGGTAGTAGGTACCTATGAATTTATACTAACTATGAATATAAATTATAAATACCAAACAATATTATAATACCATAATGTTTAAAAAATAGAAACATATTTGATGAATGCAAATTTTTAATTTGACATAACAGAACACATTTAGTAATATAAAAACATAAATATATATACATAATACTCAAATATTAATATCTTAAACAATAAAGTATTAAATTAGATATTTACAATTAAAATAGGATGAAAATGAATAAAACATATAAAATATACATAGTATTTATACTAAAGTTTTGGCTTTAATTATTCTCTCATAATACTCTGATGGTAACCCCAAATTCTCTAAGTCTTCTATAGACAACTTAAACAATTGGTTTTTGAAATAGTATAACATGGCATCCCAACATATGTCAATTAACTTTGGGATTTTAACCCAAGCACATAATATGTCATCTTTCTGATGTACATTAATTGAATCAGTACTAACTATTCCATTATGGAAGTAGATGCGACCTGACGGTACAACAGTAGACGAATGTAGAAACATTGATTTAGGCAGCTTACATGGCATAAGGTTACACCACTGAAGAGTATTAAGATTTAATCGCCAAATATCTGAGAAAAAGTTAAGATTATCAGATCCACCACTCATATATACATATTCTGGTTGGGTCACACATTGTGCCCATCCATAATAACAGCGATTTGCAGGATAAGGTGATGATAAATTCTTGATATCAGGCAAAGTTTTAAAATATTGCCATTTATTAGTTGATATGTCAAACACTTGTATTTTCTAGAAAAAAAATTAATTATTCAAGGTATACAATAAACTAAGTATCAAAAATGTATTAAAATATATAAATGAATATCTAATTAAAACGGGGATTACTTTGAATTTCCTTCTTACATATTATGTCTTACATAGTTACATCAAAACCTTAAACAACACTGAACTAAATAAGAAAAATATGATGTAATATGTTTTGGATTTAATTTGAATATTTGATTATTTCTAAAAAAATGCCTACAATTGTATACATAAGCATACATTTTTATTTTTTAAATTTAAAATGGTTTTAAACTTAAATATTACCTAAATAATTGAGATTTTTTTATAACATATTATATGAAAACACTTAAGTAGATATTAAATTATGATTTAACAAACAATACGTTTATCAGTGTAAATAATAACTTTTGGAAATAAATTCTTGTCAAAACTGATAGAAGATAATACGTTTTGGAAATTTATTTTATTGATAAGCTAAAATTAAGTCTATATATTATGATTTATGACAGAACTTTAAAATCTAAAAATAAATATTTTTTTTTTGGTAGATTAACAGTAATTTGGAAATAGGTTAATCAAGTAGAACTTACTTCAAATGTGTCTAGAAACATATTTTTATGTTGAATCATCACATGCACACCACCAAACGTGTATAAATGGTCGTCATAATAGGCCACTTCACGTCTAAGACTCTCATCAGTTCTTGGGTGTTGACCACAAGCTTGACATAATAACTGCCATTTTTTAGTACACAAATCAAGCCTATAAACATCCATTTCATTTTGGTATTCTGATGTCCCATTGAGAAAGTATACAAATTTTCCTTCTATATGAACTGGTTGACCATACTCAGTAATAATGGGAATTCCGTCTGCAGAATAAATTTCTTCGAATTGTACACAGTTGAAATGATTTTTTTTTGATAAGTTTCCTAAGTAAAAAATATTACAGGATAAATTATAAACAGTTAGAATTAAATAATAAATTTAAATTTAAAATGTTTAAAAACGAATTAAATACCGATGAAAAGTCGAAAAGTGTATTCATTAATGTACTCAAAGTTTTTTCCACCATGAACAATAATTAAATTACCAGACATCAAAATCCTAGTTAAATTAAAATATGTTGGCAAATTCATGCATTTTATTGTTTCCCAACGATCAGCAATAAAATTATATTTTTTCAGAGCCTCAACAGCAAGTACCTAAAATGTAAGAAATAACTGTTTACATATTATATAACAGTAGTAATATAAATATTTTAAATAAAGACCTCAGACTTATGCTTTCGATAGCGATTGTATTTAAACAAGTAGTCATCATTACATGCAATCCCCTGATCAATTACACAAAGAGGACGGTGCCATTCTGGTGGGTTCTTAGGGTATATGTCGAACACCAAATGTTTGAATCTATATTCCAATGATGTCATTGTGATGATGGAATCTAAAAAGACTATGGAATAATCATAAATGAAATTTATTTAATGTAGAATAGACTAAAATTGACATTCAAATAATTATTAGGCACCTTAATAATGGTATTGAGATATACATAGGTAATTAACCATACTATGACTATCAAAATAGTAGAATTTTTTTGTCTGGGATAGGTTATTTTCAACCATCCTAGAGTTTTTACTTTATAGTAAGTAGGTATAACCGGCAATTCAGTTTTAGTTTAGGTATCAAATATTACTTAAATATTATGGCATAAAAGATGAAACAATAGATTTTATTAAAAAAAATATTTATAGCAATAATAAAACTTGAAATAGCATAATAAATAATGTTATTATATAGTATGGTGTACCTATACTATAAACCACAAGCTTGCAGTTCTGTACCTAATTTAAATTAAAAAACACAGAAATAAACTAATATTCTATTAAATTCAATATTAATACATCAAATAGGGATAAAGTATCTAAATAAAATTACATATCTAAAAAACAAAAGTTATAATAAGTTTGACATAAGAAAAAAGCACTAACTTTATTTTGAATAACGTTAGGTATTTGCAATTCTTTTATGTTACAGATACGTTTATTGTTTATTTTGAATCATTAATTATGATTAATGATTTTGATTTTTTTTTTGTTTTCATGTTCTTGTTTATTTGTTTTCATTATTTTCTGTTAAAACATTATAAATAATGTTTTGAAGCTCTGTTACTAACCAGCAAATGTTGTAAGTTAGATTTTTATTTAAACATTTAAATCCCTCTCTGGTTTTAACAAATTAGATGACCATAAATTAAATAACACACTTTGAACAATTATTACTGTTACATATTACTATATTGTAAAAATATTTATTAAATATAGCAACAAATATGGTTGTAGCAATATTAACAAGTTAAATTACAAAGTCAAAGTTATCAAATATGACAATAATTTTAGTTAAGTCATCTAAAATCTAATTCAGTTTGGAAGTTTACCCCGATATTTATTGTAACCATATTAAGACCATCCAAATAACACAGAACGTAACCAGTTATTTTTAAAAACATTTTTACAAAATAATAAGTACTAATGAGTTATGACAATTGTGTGAGTATCTGTGCATAACATTATAATATTGGAAATTTGGAAAGCTCAGATACAATTATATATCTAATATAACAATGCTCATTTCTCCTTAGGAATCCAAAAGTGTGATATAGATAGCATTATTTTACAATTGACATTGTACTGCATCATAATTCGCAATAATGGTACAATACTAAAATAATTAAGGATATTGTATTGCTTATAAAACGTACCTATATAATAAATTATCGTAAGTACTAGGTATTAATATAGTCGTACTTTTTTTCAGAGAATCTCACTCGACGTCATAGCATATCAGCATCCCTCACTAGGGGGTGTGATTGACATCTTGTACAACAATCGTATCATTCTGTCCACGACGTTAACTGCAGTTAGTCAGTAGCAAATATAAGTCAACACACATCAATGGTAAACACAATACAATACACACAAAGATAATATATTTATGTAAGTACCTAACGGACAGCAAATAGTTACAAAGTGGGAAAGCTCAGCTCATGTTAAAGATATTTTATTTACTGTAAATTAGTAGTTACCACGGACTAGGATTGATAAAATGGACTGAATCTTTATTTTTTATCAAGTGTTGTGAAGTCATGAATTCGTGATACCAATATCCAAACTATTGTATTGTAACATTCATTAAAAATCGAATTATTGGAATATTGGGCGGCCGATACGACATTCTATATCCGATAAAACTTCGAAGATAATAAATCAATAAACCGCAATCCAGATTAACGATCCAAAGAATGGCGCCTCACTGCCTCAGTCGATGATCGGTTTTAGCCATGTGGTGATCAAAGTGGAGCTGCTTCCGATATCCGCGTTACACTATTGAAATTATTTGATCACAATTTTGAATTTACTAAATTCATTGTTTCTGTATTCACTGTTCACATTTCTCAATTCCACATTTCCACCGACAATTGCTGGAAATTGGAAAACGAACATTTATCGCACTTATCACTCAACAATGATAATAATTTTATATTATAATCATGGGCCCAATAATTATAACAATATAGAATAAATATAAAAAAATAATTAGGATAGTGAATTAAATATTCTAATGAATTATAAATTTATAACTAGACAATCTGATATTATGGCATACAGAATACAGATATTAACAGGATTGTTGTATAATATTATTATCTGAAATAGGTGTTGACCAGTTGCCCTCCAGCGGCTGTTTTCGGCATTTAAAAAATGTACCAGTTGCACTTACACAATGGCGTAATTATGTGGGAAGAGGTCCAGGGGTATTGGTCCCTGCAACAAAAAGATAACTAATAATATTAAAATTTTAATTTTGTATTATATTATAATACAATGTAGACGGAATCGCGGAAAAAGATCTAACCAAAAAAAGCCCTAACAAAATAAATACACCACCGAAAAAAATCCATGGAACAAATTTGAAATATTAATGTTCATATTGTGTTTTAAGTTATAATTTATAATTATAAATTGTTTCGTATCGAGTCATTAGGTACCTAATTAATGATATACCCAATACAGAACATACAATGAAATATCCTTAGGTAAATCGTAAATGTAGACTTATGTAGTTGTACTACTACATTTATACAAAAATTACACAACTCTAAAGATAATAATATAACAAGTCAATACAAAACAGGCGCTAGTACCAATAATATTAGTTTGTTTATAATACAAGGGGTTTTTTTGGTTTTTTAATTCATCTTAGTAGTGTCAGACGTCAGTTACTAGACAATTAGTTATTATTAGACATTAGTTATGATTATTATCTGATGTCTACATTATGGTCATTATGTACCTACTATTAAGTATTATTGTATAATGCTTTTTCGAATTATAATCATTAAACAACGAAATATTTACAAAATATAAAATACTTGGTACAATTGTATGGCTCTCGCGTGGACTTTTATTTCCGTGGTATGTGATTACTTTTTTGGGCTTTTTTTCCGCGCTCCACGAAGATGATGTTTATGCAAAGGCGTACCGAAGTATACAGTAAATAAATAACAATTTTCTAATATAGATCAATATTAATACCTATAAAATGTTAGAATTAAAAAACCCCCTGTAAAAAGTTGTAAATACGCCGATGCACCTAAGCATAATGTACACAATTTTAATAATACCAAGTATCAACCCGCAAAATAGTAGAGGTAAATATGTAAACAATAAATAATTTATATAAAAAAGAATAAATATAATACATAATATAATTATAGAATATTATAAATGACATACAATGTAATTTGTCGAAAAAAAAAACAATTTTAACACAACATTCATTACCTATATAATTGAAAAAATCTCAAATTGTATACTGTTTTTGTGGCAAATTACCCTGTATGCCGCTTATAATGAATATAATATATATATTATATATTTATATATTATAGGTATCAAGGTATCTACTATGTACTCTTTTGATTTTCATCTATTTACATATTTATCAGCATTATTTTAAGGGTTGGCACTTGTCATTATAATAGTGTTGGTAATATGTGAGGGCAACTGGTGCATTTTCCTCTATGTATATGTTTTAGGGGAGGGGGGTTCAAGGTTTATAGATAATAATATAATAATATTCAGTTACTTCTAAATTAACAATAATGTGATCACTTTTCTACTGTACAATTATTATTTATATGTATAAAAGTAAGTTGAATATTTACTTTACAGTTTACATTATATGCAAAATGCAAGTATTTAAAATAGATTATGTATCACAATAATTTTAAAATTTTAATTGAATGGTTTTGCACCTTTTATTGGTGTATAAACATGTAAGAAGTGTTATCTCTCAGCAGGTAGCCTGCTATTCTTCTTATGTGGATTTAAAAAATGTTATAAACATTCGTTGTTCTTTGAAAACTCATATTATCATTATTCATTACAATTAAATTGTGGAAAAATAATTTGATAGATGGACATGCCAAAAGCAGCAAGTATTTCATTTCGAATTTAGATTGTTGTATATAAAAACTATTTTTGATAATATATTATTCATTGTTTATATTTACTACTCTTATATTCTACTACATGTCTACATAGTTGGTGCAGTAAAATATAAAAACAATACATAATATATTTGTGCCACAGTCAAATGTTCATCAGGGCTACATTAGTTCACACAGAGAATACTAACAACGCTGATTTGCCCGTGAACTAAGATACACTAAAACCACAAATACCAAGATGACTAGATAGTACTATAGGTATTTTATATCTTATCATTGGTGAGTCTTCGTTCACACTTTACAGCTAAAAAGTATGTTAGTTCAACCGAAGTTTATAGACTCTAAACCTACTTTACCATTTTCATAGTAAAAGTTATATCAATAGATTCCTTTTGACTTAGAGTGTATTTATATCTTATTTTTTCAACCCCTATATGTAGCTTAAGGTTAGCTCAAACATGACTGTTTTTTAGCTCATTGAAACACATTATGATAATTGATAATCATTGTTTAAAATAATATTGTTTTTTAATGTAATAAATATTTTAATTGTAAAGCGTTTACAATTCTTGTTACTTATTGCTGTATACATTTAAAGCAAATGGTTTGCTTATAAAATAATAATAAATACCCACCCGAATCTAATGCATGTTATTTCAGGTTATATGTACCAGTTTATAGTGAGCTGTAATAAGAAAACCAAAGAAGGTATTAATTATTAAAATAGTTATAATACACACATATAAAATTAAAATAAGTAACAATTATTGGTTCTATGATTATATTCAATTGAAAAAAAATGTATTTAATTCTAATTTTTTGTATTTTATAGGTGCAGATTGCAGATAAAATTAAGCCTTTAGAGTTTTGTGCAACGTTGCATGAAATCAGTTAATAATACACTTATCATAATAAAGTTATCTAAATTTATTTCTGATAGTTAAATGTGAGTGAATTCTTACTTTACTAGACAAGATCTTTCATATTGTTATACATAATTAATATTTAATATAATGCATATTTATTATGGATTTATCTTTGTGCTTTTACTGTTATAGTGTATAATATATACAGACGTCACTTATCTATATACACAGAGCAACAATGTTACTTTTATAAAATTAAATTATAAAAATAATTATTATATATATTGCAGAAATGTTATATTATACAATTACATACATTTCCTTAAAATATATTACGTCGGCGATATAAAATTGCACTATCATATAGTTATAGTTATCGAGCGACCCTTGAAACAGACCACTGTAGCGTTGGTTTTTGTAAACTAGATACGTTTAATATTATAAGTGACTATACGTCATGACGTGAGTACCTATATAGGTATTGATAAGATTCACGATTATGCATTTAATACAATATATTGTGAGAGCCAAGATGACCATAAAATTATTATAGGTTTTAGATATACCTACAGATTATATGATTTCTCCATAGTTTGTCTACTTTTATCAAAAAAAAAAAAATTGTCTACCGGAAAGTTAAATTAAATATTTATGAGTTCAGATTTTTACAACATTGGGTAATTTACTCGATTTATCATGGAGTGATTTTCTTATATATTCGAAGTTATAATTTTAAAACTAATGACAGCAGAATCTTGACATTTTGCAATATATGTTTATTTTGTGGTTTTTTATGGTCCGCATATACTTTTCAAAATATTTTAACTCGTTTTGAGCTGTTTATGGACATTTTTTTTTATTAATCAATTTTCTTCAACAAAGGTTATGATAGCTTAATGCAATATTGCAGTCAATGGACAACATGTACAGATTCGATCGTCTCTCGTCAGTTTCTAGTAGCTTTACTCTAAGTACCTACACTTTTACAAAAACAGTATAGGTACCTCGTGGTGTTGATTAAAAAAAAACACAAACAATAGTTATTAGTGTTATTACTTATTAGTATTCTTATATAAGATCCTGAGTCAAGCGATTAATGTATTGATTTTTGTGTCTGGTATCATCATGTTTTGAGGCAGAATAAATCTCATTACACCTATAAACTTACTTTCATGTAGCCAAGATATATTTTATTGATATTTGGTACGTAATATAACAATATTGTTGGTTAATATTTTTTAAAGTCCATTATTCTGTTGAAACAAATAAAATCGTACTCTTTAATACGAAAAAAAAAAAAAAAAAACGTTTTACTGTGTAAACAAATTTCTTTATTATTGAACAATTTACAATAATTGTATGTTTAAATAACATTATATGAGAGTAAAGCACTCTACGAAAGTAAATTAAAATTTTGAATGGTTGTAAGCCGAAAATTGAAAAAAAAACACAGTAGAGGTGCAAAAAAAAAAATTAAAAAAAAAAATAAAAAAAATAAAAAAATAAAAATAAAAAAAAAAAAAAAAAACAAAACAAAAAAAAAAAAGGAGAAAGAAAAAAAAAAAAAATAAAAAAAAAAAATAGAAAAAAAAAAAAAAAATAATAAAAAAAACAAAAAACAACAGACAAGAACAAAAAAAAAAAAAAGAAAAAAAGAAAAATATAATAAAGACAAAAACAAACAAAAAAAAAAAAAAAAAACAAAAAAGACAGAAACAAAAAAAACAAAAACAAAAAAAGAAGACGAAGAAAAAATAAAAAGCAAAATTAAGAACAAAAAAAAAATAAAAAAACAAAAGAAGAAAAAAAAAATAAAAGAAAAAGAAAAAAACAAAGAAAAAAAGAAAATCAAAGATCAAAAAAAAAAACAAAAATAAACGAAAAAGTACAAAAATGAAGACGAAAAAAAAAAAAAAAAACAAAAACAAAACAAAAAATAAAATAAAAAACCGACAAAGAAGATAAAAAAAAAAAATAAAAATAAAAAACAAATAAAAAAGAAAACGAAAAAAACAGAAAAACGAAAAGAAGCAAAAGGAAATAAAAAAACGAAGAAAACAAAAAAAAGAAATAAAATAAAAAAAAAAAACAAAAAAAAAGACCAGAAAACAAAAAAAACAACAAACAAACCAACAAACAAGAAGAAAACAAAAAAAAACAAAAACACAAAAAAAAATATAAAAGAAAAAAAAAAAGCACTAAGCAAAAGAAAAAAAAAAAGAAAGCATACAAAAAAAAAAACAAAAGCAAAGAGCAAAAAAAAAAACAAAAAAAAATAAAAAAGAGAAAAAGAAAAAAAAAGTAAACAACAAGAAAGAAGGAAAGAAAGTAGAAATAAAAGAAAACAGGACAAAAAAAAAGAAAAAAAAAAAAAAAAAAAATCAAAAAAAAGAAAACAACGAAAAAAAAAAACCAAAAGCAACAAAACGAAAAACAGAAAAAAACGATAACAAATAAAAAAGAAAAAAAAAAAAAAAAAATAAAATAAACAACAAAGACGGAAAAAAAAAAAAAAAAAAGAAAAGAAAAAGAAAAAAAAAAAAAAAAACGACAACAAAAAAGAACAAAAACGAATAAAAAAGAAAAAAAAAAAGAACAAAGAAAAACAAAAAAACAAAGAAAAAAACAAAAACAAAAAAAAAAATAAACATCATAAGAAAATAAAAAAAAATAAAGAACATAAAAAAGCAAAATAAAAAAACAACGACAACAAAAAAAGTAAAAGTAAAAAAAGAAACAGACATAAAAGAAATTAAAAAAATAAAATGAAAGTAAAAGTCAAAAAAAAAAAAAACAAAAAAACAAATAAAAAAAAAAGAACAAGACAGAAGAAAAATGTATAAAAAAAAAAAAAAAATATAAATAACAAAAAAAATAAAAAAAAATAAAAAAAAAACAAACACCAAAAAAAAATAAGAAAAGAAAAATAAAAAAAATAAAAAAATTATAAAAAAATTAAAAATAAAAATATAAAAAAATATAAAATTTGCACCTCTACTGTGTTTTTTTTTCAATTTTCGGCTTACAACCATTCAAAATTTTAATATACTTTCGTAGAGTGCTTTACTCTCATATAATGTTATTTAAACATACAATTATTGTAAATTGTTCAATAATAAAGAAATTTGTTTACACAGTAAAACGTTTTTTTTTTATAGTAATGACGGTGGAAGAAGTCATTTGAATTAATCATAGCCAGCGTCTTAGCCAGAAATTTATACGGGGGTGCCATGGCCCCCTTAGCCCCGCAAACAAGCCTCTGATAATAACCTTGACACCAATCTCAGATTGCGTGTACTACAGTTGCCTTCAAAAGTTCGCATTTTTTATGCCAATCCCCCTCGAGGTTTATAGATAATACATCATATCGACCTAATAGACACCTAATTTAAAGCAGAGCGATATGATTAGATTTGATGAGTGATTTATAATTTTGTGGCTCATAAGTTATCAGATTAAATAAACGTTTTATGGTGATGGTAAAATAAGTTACTTAAATAGTTATATCATAAATCGTATCATGAAATGATACTCAAACAATGTGTTTTTATTTATTATTTTTTAAAATACCCTTAATATGGGCTAACCGACCTCTCAGAATAGTTTGAAATGGTACAAGTTAAATTCAAATTGAATACATTCACAGACCATAATCTGTTACTTACATTGAATCTCTTTAATTATACTGTAAAGCAGATTGGTATCCGTTTGCCCTTCATTGTCTAATAGTGTTTTTTTTGTTTTGATATACAACAAACCAACTTGAAAGTTTGTGTGAGGATTTTTGATTAAGTGGATATTTGTTGTTTTAATTTTTGCGACAAATCGAAAAAAGTAAGCTTTAAATATTGTACAGTATATTTAACATTTTACTGTATTAATAGTAAGTGATAACAATAAAAAATATCCTAGGCTGACATACTGTCTCTGTTCAGCACCGTTTTTCGTATACTATGATATTATATCATTGAATTCAAATTTAACACCATCCATAACAGCGACTTCCTTGACACTCAATGTATAGAAGAGCGAGATCCACTTACCCGGTTTCTTTATAAGTTATTTTAGGAAATATATTAAATTATCGTTTTGGCTTTCTTCCATAGTCTGACTATGTATAACTTAAAATAATAGCTATGCTCGATGAGCGAACTGTCAGAAATTTAAAAAAAAATTCAAATTTTATATTGTAGATAATATTTTAAATAAAATTATACGATAACATATAAAATATAACAAACATTTAATAAGACACATAGTAAACAATCAGTGACTTTCACAAAGTGAAATTCTCATAAAATAAAATTCACAAGATAAAAAATATATTATATTATATTTTGGGACGGTTTTATCAGCACATTCTAATAGTTTAGATAATACAATAATTAAAAACTAAAGATATTAAAATAACTCATAAGGATTTAACTATACCTACATTTAATATAATCACATTCATTAGAAAAAACAAGTGACACAATAAATAATAATACACTTCGACACAATGTTTATAGATTTATAATGTGCAAAGTTAACAATAATAATTGAAAATAGTAATACAAGTAAAAACAAACACAGAGTTCTTTATTATTTATTTATTTATAGTTGTAATCAATGGGTGTATGCTATTGGCTGTTAAATTGCTCTGGTGATCATAATCTTTGTATTACAAGACTATAATAAATTAGTGAGCAATAACCTCGTATTGATGATAATAATATAATAAAATATGTAACAGTTCTGTGGCTAATGTATTGTTACGTGATTTTAAAAACTGGTCCAATTCGTGAAAATATTCTACCAAGGACAGTCTTCAATTCAGGTTTTAAATCAATGCTGATCATTTCACATAACAGAGGATAGTGTGTAGAAGATTGTACAGCAAACTGTAAATAATTAACATTTAATTTTATAAATACAATCATATTATTGAGCTAAAATAATTTGAATGTACCTTGTCTTCAGGTAATTTGTATAGTTTTGTAAATATGAGCAATAAAATAGGATTCCACGAAGTTTTGTGGTAATGATTGTTCAATGATAAATAATACTGAAAAGAATCATTTACAACGGTACTAGCCACATTTTGTGCATGTGTCCAGTGCACACGCCGTGACTCATCACATATAGCTTTCAGTGCTATTCTCAGTACACAAGCTACACTCTGAGTTTCTTGTGTCAACATATTTGATATATCGTCATTGACTATAGAAGTATAAAGATAAATAAAATATGACAAATAAGAATTCATTTTTGTAATTTATCACTAACCGTAACTTCGCTGTGGAATGTTTTGCAATAATGTGTAGTTATATTGCTTGGTATAATTATGAACGCGCAATAGACAATCAGTTAACATAAACAAATGTTCAGAACTCAAGTTACTATACATTCCTTGCTCCTCTTGTTGTTGTTCAAGTATTTCAGTATTCTGATTGATTGTAGTATTTTGAGCTAATGCTAAATACTCTTGATCTTCTTTACGTGATGTGGAGGGGAAGAACACAATATTGTCCACAGTGCGGATAAGCTCAAGGCGAATAGCACATTTTGCGGTTATTAAGGTGTCAGGTTTGACATGCTAATAAATAATAATTCAATTAATAATGCATCAATGCAGTTATCATGATAATTAATAACATTTAATATACATACCTCGGACCTTAGATTTTGTTCTTGTAATGGTTTTGGCATCATACTGTCAAACATAGATACAATTGTCTGACAAGTACAATCCCAATTTACTTTATCAAATTTTGAACCATTAGATGTTATTAAATTTTCTAAACAGTATGTACTTGACTGAGCTAACTGATCATTGTCTATGATATAAAATAATAAATCAATAAAATAATTTAAAACTGGAATAAATAGATTTACACATTATACCTTGTTGAATACACCACTGAAGTTGTGCATATAAATCTTGCAACAGTATAGCACACAATATGTCAAAGTACTGTGTAAAAACATCTACAATTGATGTCAGGGCATGATTGCAAGTGATTGTCATCCATTCGATCCTCTATACACATTATTTTAATTGTTAAATGAGTGTTATAATTGATACATATATTATGATATACCTAAAAATTTATTACCTCAACACTGTGTTCTTGATGTTTCACATTATCAAATATACGGAATAACACATTGAAAAGGTCTTTCCACCAGTTTAATTTAAACACAGTTCCATGAGTTTTAACCAACTCAAAAAGTACAGTTAAGGCACGTGTTCGTATGTCAAGTTTACATCGACTAACAATACATGACAATTCAAACAACAATGGGAACCATCCTCGTACCCATACACCATCTTCTTCTAGAGAAGACGGTTCTTCAGAAAAATGTTCTGCAAATATCTAAAACAAAATAATATCAAAATATTAAGTACATTACCACAAAAAATGCAGTGGCATGGTGAACATTTATAAGTCATGATGCACGGAATATATTTCAATACCTACCCACTCTTTATCCCCTTGATATAATATATAATGATTATGTGATTAAAATATTTATGAAAATTTTTGTTTTATGTTATTGCTTACCATAATATATCCAATCACTCTATCTCCCCCAAAAAATGTGTACCATGACGCTTAGGCATCATAACCCCATTCACCACGCCACAACCACTGAACATATGCAATATGATTTAGGACTTATTCGATTTTGTTCGATAGTAAACTTACTTGAGGTTTATCATGAACACAATCTGCACATGTACGCAATAAATGTATTGCTTCCATGCTGATTTCTGGGAAACCAACATTACATGCAAACTCAGACAAACATTTTACAGCATCTTGGAATGATTCCATCATAATTATACAATTTTGTTTATAAAACAAGTCTATTAAAATAAAATAAAAATATAAATGCTGCAACATTTATTTAGCCATTTTTTAGTTACTTACTGATTACATGCTGTGTTGTACGAAATGACATATCAACAATAGCCCCATCATGATCAGAAGCCGCCAAATGAAATACACCAAATATGTTTTTCCACCCAGATCTAATGTTAGCTGCTTGTGAATTGACCATTTGAGTAATACATCTAACTACCATATCCCTAATGGTTGGGGAATGATTCTTCTTCATAATTATTTCAAATGGACGCAAAAAATCTTTTTGAAATTTAAAGTTAGCAAACTCTCCTTTTTCAATAAATTTCATGGATAACTGGCGTAACGAGTCCAGAGCAAAAGTTGCAATATCTTCATTTGGATAACAGCCTACACGGTTGAAGTGTTCACCTAGTACTTGCCACATTCTTGACCATTGAAGTCGAATACGCCCCATATTATAGTAAGAAATTTCAACAATTTTTTGCAAGCTGAACATACGGGGATTTGTGGAGTTGGCTAATTCGTTGATGGAAACCTAAAAGACAAAATTTGTTAATGCAAATTCAATGTTATAATTTAACAAAAAATCTACACACTTGACATAATGCTTTGACAAATTCCACAATGGCATCTCCGTCAAGTCTCGTAGAACCAGTAAATATACGATCTACAGCAACTACAACACTCTGACTACTCGTCTCGCCTATTGATCCTTTTCCACTAGCTAAAGACCAAAAAACATAAGTACTTTATATATTAAAAATAATTATTATAAAACTTACAGTCTAATGTAGTAAAGTTTAACTTTTGACTAAGGGCTTCAATAGGAGGATAAGTTTTGCTAATAACTTGTGATAAAAATTGTGGTCGAACTCCAGTGCCAACCATCTGAGCAAGTTCCAATTGTGAGATACACTTGATAATATCAAGCCAAGAAGTACCTAGATAATTGCCATCAGTATATGCAACAGTTATTAAAGTTTTTATTGTCTCAATGTTCTTAGCTTTCATTTCAGTCACTGGTGAATTAGCCGTTAATAGAGTAAAACGTGCTAAAGCCTGGACATATGCATCTCGCTCCAACTAAAATAAATACATTTTTAATTTTTACAAAAAAAGCATGACATGCAAACTTACGGTCATGTGAAAAATACAGGCGATTCTTATAGCACAACGTATGCCATCCAAACACAACATAGCTATTTCTAGATCATCACAATCTTGTAAACCAACACTGAATGCTGCCAAAAATGGTGTCCATGTCATCTATAAATTAAATAAAAGTTGTACAAAAATCAGGGTTGAGACGTACAGCCTTAAAATGTATTAAAATAAGCACTTAAAACTTCATAATAAGTACTAAAATAATCAATTGAAAACCATTAATAAGAGCCAAACTAATTTTACAGTCTGTATAATCTTAATATGGTAAAAACTAGTACATAGAGCTAGAAAAATCTTTTAAGATAAGCAAAATTAAGATTTTACAAAATATGTTATATTTGAACTTGTAATGACATGATATAATATATAAAGCCGAAAATAAAATTGTTTGAAGTGCCGAACTTTGATTACAATAATTTTAAACAAACATTGACTAATAGATCAAACCTTAAACATGGGTTTAACATGCTCCAAATGTTTAGCTTCAGTAAATGGTGCTCGAACATGACTAACAGATTCCATAAGATTTTTAGCCGCTACTGCTATAGCTTCCATTTCCATGTTCCATAATACTTTCCGTCTCTTTTCATTTGGTATTACTAATATATGTAATAAATAATTAAATATGAATATTAACATAGATTTAATCATCCAAAATACATACATTGTTTTCCTGGTTTTACTGTTGATTTCATCTTAATCTCATGACCAGCAATGTCATCATATATTTTACTTAAATATTCTTCTGGTAAATCTTTGTTATCAGATATACAACTACCTCTATTCATTTTTATATACTGCTCTTTGGTCATTTTGGTTTTGACTTGTGGAGAATGCAAATCTGTAGTTAACATAATGATTGAATAGGAAAGCACATACAACGTATCAGCACTGTCAAAGAGCCCATTGCTGAGAATAAACATAACATAAATGTAATTTTTTTTGTATCATATTATGATTGCTAAAAAATGTTTTATCATAAAACAATTACTTTGGATTGCACTCAAACCATCTACTGGCAAATTTTTCTAATAATCTATCAATTTTTTGAGCTTCACCCGGCAACCGAAATCCATCAAGGAAAAATCGCAATGCTGTCACAACATCTTTGCCAACAAAATTCATTTGATCTACATAATAGTACATAACCTAAAATAAATTTATTAATAATAATGATAGTAATAATTGTTAATTATAAATTTCTATTTAATACATCTTGAATTATAATATACAATAAATAGATCAGTGGTTGTAGCCAGGGGACACGGATATCATGCCCCCTCACCATAGGGCATCATATTTCTTCAGGTGGATGCATAGGCCGACTGGCAACTATTAAAATTTTAAATCAACATATATTGTTCATTTTTAGTGTTGTGACCTACTACCTACTTATATTATAGGGTTAGAAATTAGAAACCTTTTTTAGACATTATTCAATTGAAAAGTTACTCGGAATAAAATGTGTCTTTATCAAGTAAATTTTCTATAGATGGCAAGAATAAAATAATACTACTAATATTGGGTTTACTAATTTAAACATTGTAAAATATCCTACCCATATTTTGACTCATTCAAATTTTTTTAAGTTCAAAAAAATTCACAGGTGAATTAATTTTTGTATTAAGTAATTAAGATGATTACTTTTAAATATTTATGTATAAATTATAAATAAATTAAAATATGTATATTTTACTGAAATTGGGTAAATTAGTGACATAATTAATGATTTATAATTGATTCAATGATTATACTTTTTTAAAGTTAAATTTCATGTATCTACTATTATAATAATATCTAGGTACAATATTTTATTTTTATTTTTTCATTGAGTAGTATATTTTGGTAATAAAGAAAATTAACGTTTACTATCAGACAAATGCGTCATTCTAGGTCCCCTAAGGAGAAATGCAGGAGACGACAAAAATTAAATAAAGCTGTAGCCTAAATATTTGACACTATCATTACATTCCTAAGTTAAAGCTGAAGCTCATACAACAATTCAATCAGGTTATCAACTGCCTACTGGTACATATTATATGTTGTGATGAATTAGAGACAAGTGATAACCCTTTGTTATAATTAAACATTCAGCAAGATTTGTTGATCACTTTGGCATTAACTATGTAGTATGCTGTACAGGATTCTATCCATTGCATAATATGATCTAAGATATATAAACAATAAATTATTATTATATTACTTCTTTGTTAAAGTCTTCATTTTCTCCAAGGAAATCTCCAATAGCTGTTTTATCTAATCTTTCATCAACATGAAACCATTCAGCTATGTCAGAAGGACTAGTTCCAAGAAGCTTTTGTTCTTGAAGAAAATTTATACCATGTTTAGGCTTGCGATTAAACCTAAAATATTATTAGTTATCACTTATCAGCAAATATTTTACATTTAAATCAGTGGTGGTTCCGTCTTTATTTTTCTATCAAGACAACTTATGTGTATAAGCCCCAACATCAAGAAAACATTAACATGTACATTGTCGTTAAGGGATAACCAACAAAACAGTAGGATTACCAAGGCTGAGCATTTACTTAAATTATCAAAAAATCAATGAGAGAACACAGATAGTTTTTACTTTTAAATTTGATAATAGTAGTCAATTCATTCAATGTTAAAAAAGCTAACTACATAAGATTGAATCTGCTTAACTTGATTTGGCTTTGTTGACCACGGGCAGAAAAACTTAAATTCATTGATATTCTCTTAATCATTTATGTATTTAAAAAAGGGGAACTTTAACTAAGTCATGAATGAATCTAAAATTATTTAAAAGATTTGGACATATGGCGAGCTTAACAGCATACATATGAAGTACTATTCAATTAAATTTTTTGTTTTGCGCCGTTGCTTAACCTTCAAAAGCGCAACTGATTTTAATATGACTATTATAAAAACTTACATAAGTATGCCTGTTTCCCAGACTTCTTTCTGGTGTTTAAGCACTTGCAATTGTTGTGGCATATCAGGAGCTTCCTTGTTACCCGAACTATTTGATGTTAAACTAGATTCACTACCATCGAGTGAGTTAAGACTGTCTTGAGTAATAGCTGACTCATTGGCATCATATTCGCGTACATTTCTTTCTGGACCCAGGTTAGTCTGGGAATTAGGATTGACATATAAATCTTTACTCCATTCTACCATGCACTTCAATATTGACACTAAACATTCGAGTCCACGAATACGCATAGATTTTTCTTGATTTAGAGTCGCACCTAGTTCAATAGCTTGACGACCTTGGGCAATTTTAGAAAGATCGTCAACTAACCTATAACACAATAATATTTATCATGATTATATATATAAAAGAACTTTAATTCATTATTAGTTATTATTTACCTTTGAAAGAGATTTGCTGCAGACAAATCGCAATCATAATTAACATACATATCGACTACACTTTGAGCATCAGCACAAATACGTGTTAATGCTTGAATCACCATCCATTTGTGTTCAAAGGTTGAACTTGAAGTTTCCAAAATATTTAAAAATATTTCTTTGAAGAACACCTATTAAAAAAAATTATTAACTTAGTAATTATATTAAATTAACATGAGTTCCATTTTTACTTACCTCAATTTGCATTTTTAAATGTGTTTTAAATCGTGATAGCAGAGATAAAAATATAGCTAGTGAAAGTTCAAATACTTCAGGTACAGATGATGTACCATTATTAGATAAAGCAACACATAAAAACTGTTTGATTGCTGTTATAAACATCGGATTGGTGCGAAACACAGGTCCCGCATTTTGTAAAATGGATAGCAAAAGATGTAAAGACAGGATTTTTGAACGTAGTTCATGAGACCTTAAAATAAGTTATTAAAAACAAACTATCCAAATTATTGAACTAGGCATTAAATAAATATTCTTACTTTGGATCTGGTGTTCCCTCAGGCAAAGGTTTCATTGATAATTTACATAAAGATCGGAAAACTAGAAAGGCATCTTTTTGTAAAATATGATTAAAAGATGCAACTGTTTTACATTCAGCTTCATTTGTAGTTTCCAAACTCTCCTAAACAAATATTAAGGAAATGAAAAATATTTACCATAAATTCAACAACAATTAATTACTTACTTGCGACATGGATCTTACAATATCTTGGGCTAGTTCTTTTGTTTTGTTACCTTGATCAATACTTTGTATAGCAGCATCACATATATCATTTACAATATCATAAATAATGCTTTCATCGATATCTATATTAAGTGAGTCATCACTCTGTACTGTTTCATCAACTTCACACAACTCTACAATTTCGGACTCATATTTTGGTACATCTACTTCCATTGCTTGCATTTCCATGCGAGTAAAGATTACATTCAACATTTGGGTGAGAGTTGCTCGAGCTGTTGTTTGATTAACTAAATTTCTACTGGCTAAATAAATATTATAACATGTTTTAACTGCTTTTAAGATTGTTGCTTCATGGACTTCAACGTGTTGACTTGTAACTACAGTTAACAGGGCCTGGAAAAACATTATTTTAAAAAAAACCCAATTTAACAAAAGTAAAATGGTGAATATTTTTACTTTAATGATTTGTAATAAAATTCCTTCATCTGTTTGACAACCTGTGAAACAATCACAGATGGTTTCTACAATCTTATCAATCAGTGGCTTGCCCGTGTCATTGGTACAGTTGCCTGTTAAGTGACCATATGCAATGAGTTTCTGAAACAATCGATTAGTGAAACATTAACAACTCACTAATCGTTATGTAAGTACTCACAAAATAAGAAATAAATAGACTTACTTGTAAGCAGTCCAATGAAGTTACGACAATTCTGGGCGACTTACTTTGACAAGCTAATTCAAATGGTCTGAAGTATTTTTCTGCTGATATGGCCGAGCTGCCATCTTTGGGCAAGGGCAAGGCGGATGATGCATCCGTCTTCTCTTCGGCTTGACACTCAGATTTTATGCTCTCTAGAAAACGCAGGAAAAATATGGATAGATCAATTTTGTAGTTACAAACATTCACATTTCAAAAAATATCACTCACGCAGTGCGGCTTCGCATTCCTTCCGCAGCTCGGCGTGATACGACTTCTTGACATCCTTGTCCCCGAGAATCTTCTCCAACGCGCGTATGATGAACATTTCTTTGGCGTTGGACCTCTTGATCATGTTAACCTGTAACGGGCGGAGGCGACCATCAGTGTCGGCGACGACGGACCGGGACGAAAACTGTTGCCCGACGCGGGGTTATTGCGGTGGAATAATTTGGTGTGCGTGTACAACAATATAGTCGAACCGATTCAATCAGCTATTTGCAATTTACATAGAATCGCAGCGGTGGTGGTATAGTTCAATCGTTGCATCACCGCGGCGGCGTATTCTAATTTTTTAAGCATAATAACAATATTGAAAATATCAATTTAGTCACCAACTTACTACCAAGACCCAAGTAAGTTCCAACTGGATGTCCGATAGGCGATAACGGCCGTCGCAAGATAACAGTTGTCTTGAATATTAATGTCAGACTGTGGGTGTAGATGGCGTCAACAGTACACCGTTATCGCTTATCAGTCAGTAAATAGCACGGAAGCTGCAGCTGGTGAAGATAAGTACCCCCATAGATAATAATAAATATAATAATCCTTATCTGTGTGCCACCGTGATGAATATTATTAGTTCTTTTAATATATTTAGATTCAATTTATTCCGTGGTTGTTTTTGGGATTGGTTTGACATTTTTTATAATATCTAGCGATTGTTATTTATTTTTCCATCCATCAACCGTTTACAACTACTGTCAACTACACTATACGACTATTATAATATAATCTGTGCTACTACAATACTACTACAGTACAAACATTTAATTTATTCCGCGGTACAATTTAGTGTACCATACTACAACGGTGATTTAATATTAATTTTATAGACGTTATTTTCAAGTATAATATTCCTATAATATCTAATTATATTTTAGGGTTTAGACGCTATTCGATTGTATTGGTACATAATTTTGGAATTGGGATCATTAGTATTTAATTACAATGGTAATTTTGATTTCAAAAAAAAATAAAAGTTTTTTAATAAATAGCTTGTAAGATATGTTTATCTCATTTTATTTTTACAGAATATTTCATCATTTTCAGAAAAAGATTTTAGTGTTGTAGATTGGATTAATAATACATTAAAGGATAAACCCCCAGATCAATGTCGTGAGGTGTGTATAAAGTATATAAAGTACATTATTATGTATTATTTATTGTCTACACATTAGACGTGAATTATATGTTAGAGTGTTATATGTTAACTGAATATTTTATGTACTTATGATTATGGATACTGATGTCCATATCACAGCCGTAAAATAAAATAAAATACTTATATATGATATGCGTTTAAATATTTGTTTTTATAATAGGCAATCCCATCTATGTTGAAAAAGTTACAATTATGTGTAGAACAGGTACATGAGGTACTTGATGAAACAACAATACAAGTTCTTTCTTCTCTACCAAAAGTTGTCAATGACATTGAGCAATTTGAAAATCAAGCTTCAAATATCCAACAAAAAATTATTGATTTAAAACAAGAAATCAATACAGTAATCAACCAAATTTAATATTCAAGATAAAACAATATTTTTAATTGTATTTTTTTTTAATTTTTTGAATAGGTAAAAAGTAACACTGGTGAATCATTATTGAAACTTCAATTGTATGATGGAATCAAATGTAATATGGAAGTTACCAAAAATGCTTTGGAAGAAGCGGATAATTGGACCAAACTTATTACTGATATTGAGATTGTAATTAGAATTAATAACTCATTTTTAACCAGAAAAAATATATTGGCAATGTGTTATATTTAGTTAATGGATAATGGAGAAATAGACCAAGTAACAAATAGGTTGATTAGAATGCAACGTTCTTTAGCAGTCTTGGAAAATAATTCTGATTATGAAGAAAGAAAAAATCAGTTAGAAGAGCTAAAAAGTAAATTTGAAGTAATATTGATTCCAATGGTTAATGTGGCTTTTGAAAATGAAAAAATTGGTATGAAAAATTAGTTTCTAAAATAATTTGATATATTCATGTAATATATAGATATATGTATAAAATATATTTTGTAACGCATGTTACAGATGAATCAAAGCATTATGTAACTATATTTACCAATCTAGAAAAACATGATCAGATTATTAAATATTATTTAAAGTGTAATAAAAACAGATTACGTAAAGAGTGGTCGTCAAAAATGTATGCCAATGAGTATTCTAAAAATCCTTTAATGTTTTTTGAAGCATTTTATGAAGCATTAATAGAATGTAAAAAGCAGCAGGTAAGTTACTAATTATATAAATTTAAGTTTATTCAATTCATCAACTGTAAATTATATACAATGGCCGGGTTATATTATAATGGTTGTGTCACATGCCTAAAAACTACTTTAAAATTCATCACTGCTGTTAAAATATACGAATGTATTTGCAAAAGTTTTATACCTTTAAATATCATATTAAAACATTTATTTGGGAACTTTTTACTGTCTAGTGAGAAAACGCACAAATTGTTTCATTCTGCTTATCCTCAATTCCATACCAAGCCCCATACTAAACCCAGCTAAAATAAGCTTCAAAATAGTTGAGTTATTTGGAGTTTAATATTAGGCTTCGGCTATCACTCCATCAGTTCATGTGTGCAGAATTAGTATGTTATCTTGCTGGACAGAGTATCTGTGATACTAGTATAGTGTGAATTATTATTATAAGCAAAACTTGTATGAATGTTCTTAAGTTATACATAATAAAATTATTATTTATTATTTTTGAATATTTTAATTTTAATTAGTTTAAATTATTATACAGATGATTTTGTACAAAAAATTATTTACTAGTGAAGTACAACTTGAAATAGAATGTCAATTAATTTTATCATATGGAGATTTGTTTAATATATTAGAACTTCCAATGTTTGAATTGGTCGACGTTTCTATCAAAAACCATCAAGAACCACTTATTTTAATATTAGATTTATTTTTGGCTACTGACGTATTTATTAAAAATATTAAAAATGATTCAAAAATTGGTAAGAATTTTATTTATATTTTGGTTTACATTTTATTGAACATAACATTTGTGTAGGTGATTCATTCAATTGGGATAACATATTAACAAGTATATACAGACCATTGATTCCACAAATTGTTTCTTACAAAGAATTTGAATATGAGCATTCCAAAAAAATCACCAATTTTGCATTAAATAAAGATGATTTAGTAGATGTAGTTCAAGCTTTTGGTCAGGCTCAGTTAACTGTTTTTAGAGCATCAGAAGAAGCAAAACGTCGAAGTGCTGTTTTTAGCCACTGTGTTTTTCCTGAAATGATCTTTGCTATTAATGTAATAAAAATAATTTTCTTAACACACCACATTTAAATTTTTTTATTGAGATATAATTTGATTTATAGAGGATATTTTCTAACGTTATTGAAGGAGGGAAAGAAGTATTAAAAAAAATATTAGTTAACATGAAACCCGGAGAAAACTGGAATTTATTTCAAATATGTTTAAAGTTTTTACAATCTTCTGGTGATTATTCAAAATACCTAGAATTATTGCTATATATTTAATACTTAAAATTATTGTTTTTGTGTTTTAGGAGAATTTTTACGAGAATTATATTTTATAGAATCCGAATTTAAAAGTTGCATTTTAACAAATGAACAACGAGCATTAAATGTTTCAAAATATTTATTAGTTGAAGATAGGCAAATTGAATTGAAAAATGTTATTGATTTATTAAAAAGTGGTATGTTTTTTTCAATTTATAAATTATTTTATTATTAGTTATGCATTAGTAAGCTTTAATAGTTTAAAAATATTGATTAAGTGTTTGTATTATCTATTATTACATGGAGTTCTTCTATCAATGGACCTTAATTTTTTTACATACACAATGCTTTGTTAATTTATTACATTTTTTTTTGTTTCATATACCTTTTGTATTTAATTTTTTGTATAAAAGGTATAATTTTATTTATAGATAGTGATTGGAAATTGTTTAAAGAATCAATTCAAGCCACAGAAAAATTGTGTTCTCATATATATCAAACATTTTATAAAATATCATTTAAGCCAATATCGTTTTACTTAGAGCAACTGGAAAAAGTAAAATTTAATAAGGAAACATCTGATGCTCATAGACTTTCTCCTAGAGAATATATTACCCAAGTAATACATTTGATATTTATATATGATAATAAATAATTATGTTCATATGTTTCTAAAATAAATAATATTAAATAAACCATTTTTTTTTTGTTTTTTTAATAGATTGGACAGTATTTAATAACACTTCCACAGCATGTTGAACCATTTTTAGTTCGGGATAATGAAGCAGTAACTGTAGTTTTAAGTTTATCCGATAGACGTTACACAGATGCTTCTCTGGAAGAAAGTTTTACAAATGTCTTATTAAGGATACTAGCAAGAAATACATGTGATGTATATGTAGAACAGATACAGTCACTAAGAGAAATAAATAATTTGGCTGCTCAACAACTAGCTGCAGATATTGGTAAATCTTTTGTAAATAAATTTAATTTTCTATTAGACGATGCCACAATAATAGAATATTGAATAGGTTAAATAACTAAATTAATTGATTTTTCATCTTACCATTTATCTATAAATTGTGGTAATCATTACTATATTAATGCAATTAATTTTCATTACATGTTATGGGGAAGTGTTACTTTAATACCTTCTAAGTTAGTAGTAACTGCTATTAAAATGTTGAAGATGATTAAGGATTAATTCAATATAAATATGTTAGCTTATAAAATATACAACTGGTTAATCTATGTAGTCGACTGGTTCCAAGGATTTCAGCTGTATACATTTTTTGATTAAATTTCATACATTTTCAGTGCATTTTAAATTGTCACATAAGTATTGTTTGTTAAATAAAATAATATATTTTTAATTATAAGATTACAACAAATTAATTTAAAATTTAAACCTTATGTTATACGGACATTTAGATTACACTTGTATACAACACATAATCAGTAGCTGATTTGTATGTTATTACCAATTTTTAATTTATTTACTTAAACATATATTATTTCAGAATACTTGGGATATGTATTAGAAGAACTTGGAGTAAAACTCAATGACACTACTACCCAAATCATGAATTTATTAAGACTAGAAAGTGATGAATACATAATGAAATCATCATCAGTTGCTGCTTCAAAAGTAGCGGCAGTGATAGCAAAAATTAGAAATATTAGATAAAAAAAAATGTAGTATGCAATTTATTTAATACTATATTATTTTAACAAGTATAAAATAACATAATTATTATTTAATCAGTTAAGCTCAAAAATTATGACGAGTATTCAGGAGCCCATAATTTAAATGTTCTATCATATGATGAAGATGCTATATATTTAGAATCTGGAGATATGTCCACTCCCATTATTTTGTTGTCATGTCCAGATAGTGTTTTTAACATTTGCCATGTTTTATTTGCCCAAATCTATAAAAATTAAATATTTTTATCAAAATAATTAACAATTTATTTATTATTAGTACCTTGATTGTGTTATCATATGAAGACGTGACTATAAAATGACCCTCAGGTTGGTATCTTAATCCCGAAACAAGACTCATGTGAGCTGGAATAGTGTACAGACATGCTCTTTTTCTAACATCCCAAACACGACATGTGTTATCTTCACTACCGGTGGCCATTTGGTAACTTCAAATTAAATTAATTTTAGTTGATTATTGTTTTGTATAAGTTTTTGTTAAATAAAAAATTACCCATTAGGAGAAAAGTCTATACTATATATAGACTTCAAATGACCTTCCATAAACATAATGCATCTTCCTGTACGCAAATCCCAAACACGGCCAAAAGCATCCAAGCCCCTATTAACATATGATAAGAAATAATGAATTAGAGTATGGTACCTATTGATACTAGAAAAAGGATTTTATTAAAATATTAAAGAAAATTAATAAACAATGATACTTACCCAGTCGCAACGATTGAGCCATCACATTGAAATGACATGCAATAAACTGGTTTACAATGTCCTTCCTGATGGAGAACTTCTTCCCCTTGTTCTAAATCCCATAACCGCCATGAATTATCAAAACAGCAAGTTCCTAAAAATCGACCAGACGGATGAAAATCTGCTCTTGACACTCTAAAGGGTGCATGACCTTCCAGGTCTGCTACAGGTTCCTCTTTTTTACTAAAAACAAGCATAATTAGAACATTGAATGACCATTACATACTTCACACGAATAAACAGTAAAATAGCTTACCTATCCATGGACCACAGTTTAACAGAACCATCACTGGCACATGATACGAGATCACAGATATTGTCGGCAGTGCCGGCATGCGGATTAAATGTGATAGAGCAGACATTACAATTATGTCCTCTGAATGTTTGAACTAAAGAACAATCGGGAACTGACCATAATTTACACAAACCACTCCTGAAATAAGTTAATGTTTTATTACAACAATATTTAAAACTATAGTTCTTATAGAAATTTATAAAAAAGTTCATCATAAAAAAAATAATTTACCAAGATGACGTAGCTATAAACTGCGAGTCAGGACTAAATCGGCAGTATGAAATTGGTCTAGTATCACCAATCTGACTACAATAAATAGAAAGAGATGTTGTGTATTTGTGTAAATCCTGTAAGCGAGCTGTAAGTGTTGATTCAGGTATACTAGCTTCTTCTCTGAGCTTTTCCAAACGAAAATGTGATCTTAACAGTGAATACTCTAAAATAATTAATAGTAATGAATAATATAAGAAAAAGTTCTTTGTTTATAAAAATATTATTTTACATACAATTTTAATGTTATTTAGAAATATATGTACATGTATAGTATAATCTATATTACATACCTGCCATATATAAACGTGCATCTAGTAGTGAAGGTGGCCCTTCATGATACCAGGTTGTATCTTGATCTTTGATTTGCTGTCGTTTCTCTTTTTCTTCTTCTGGTTTTTTTGCTACAACATCTTCTCCTACTCTATAACATATTTAAAAATGTATGTTAATCCTAATGTTATTGAAATAGTAACTCATCAATTAATACATAAACTAATGTTAAATAGTAAATACCTTGAAAGCAGTTCTCTCAATCTATTTCTTCTTTCTGCTGGTCCTTCCCCAAACAAGCATATGGCTTGTCCAAGCTTCCTGAGATTTTTTTTAACTTCATCGTCATCAGTAGAAACTTGCACATGCCGAGCTTTCTTTTTACGTTCAAATTCTTCAAGTAAAGCTTGTTTGTCTTTAGATATAGCATCCTCCAAATCAAAATATTCTGTAAACAACAACAGTGTAATTAATAATTTGATAAAAATACCTACATTGCATTTCGTTTTAGTTAGATTCATTGTAATTAATTTAATATATTACCGTTGGATACGTTTATGTTTCCTCCTACAGCTTTTGATTCGCCGTCACCTTCAGTGAAAGCCAAAGCAGATAAACGAGCACGTTCTTGATCTTCTAATGAGCCGTAGTGTATTGTTTTTTGTTTTTTTACGTAAGTAATTTCTTCGTCGTCCGACATGCTGTCAAGATTATTTCAAATTTGTGTTTATAAAAATAATATTCTATACATCCATATTATTTTAAAAAACTTTCATAGCAAGATAAAAGTGTAAACAAAAATATCGGTTTATGATATCAGCTAAAAATTGATGTTAGGAACGAGATGGCCGATAGATTTTCCCTTAGGGCTTAGACTACGATTTGTTATTTTGTTCTAAAAAATTTAAAGTAAAAACCATGTTATAAATTTTAAATTTCTATTTGATTCATTTAAATATTATTATTATTGTTGGGTATTAACAACGTATAATAATATATTTTGTGTTTTAAAATGTAGATTTGTTTTATCATAGAATGATACAATTATACAATTATACACGGACGTGTTTATTATCTTAGTCTGTGTCTATGGATTGTTATATATCTTTGCTTATGATTAGATTAGTAGATTACGTCTTGATCAAACGAATGAAATGTAGGTAAACTTGAATTTTTAAAAAAATTTATGAAATTATAACCATGACAAATTAAATTTAATTTGTCATGATTATAACTATAATGGTACTTTTTCACGTTTAAATCAATGTTATAAATTACCATCAAATAATAATTTAGATGATATACACATATAATGTCTATGTCCAGATTTTATTATCCTAATATATCTATTATGACTTATGACATCAATAACTTTCTTTATTGTAACTATTTTTAATTTTAATTAAACCGAATGATTAAAAATGGTTAAAAATTATCGTGTCGTTGTATTTGGAGTGAAAGGTGTTGGTAAGACAGCAATATTGGAACAAGCTATTTATGGACATTTTAGCAAAAATTATGTGAGTTTATTAGAACATAGTAGACTGTCATTATTTATTATTGCTGTTTAATTTTGGTTATAGAAACTGTGGCCTACTATCGAGGATATATACCATGCTTCTATAGAAACTGACAAAAAGATACGTGAACAAGTTCGTTTTTATGATACTGCCGGCCTAGATTTGACACAGTTACCTGAGGTTGGATTGTATTCAAATCCAGATCCTTCACTTATGTTATCTTTTGGTCAAATAGCTAAACAGTATGCGTCCATTGCAGATGCCTTTATACTAGTATATGATACAAGTCGACCAGAAACATTTGATTGCTTGGTAACATTAAAAAAAGAAATTGATAAGAATAAGGAAAAAAAAGATGTAAATATAGTAGAAATTTAAATACCTAGTGTATCTTCTCATTCTTGAGATTAACCAAACAATACATTTTATGTTTATTTTTTTAGGCATTTTATGTCATTGTTGGCCATAGAATGCGAGAAATGGATATCAAAGCTCCAACTTTAGAGTGTCCTTCAAGTCGAGCTTCCCATTGGTCTATTAGAGAAAAAATGAAGCATTTTGAAGTTAATGCTTTAGACCGGACTAGTTTATTTGAACCGTTTATTTATATTGCTTCAAAATTTAATACTGTACAACCAAAGAGTAGTTTTCCTCAGCTAGTACGAAAAGGTACTCAACATTAATGTCTATTAATGCCATTTTACATTAGTGCCTCCCCAATTCAATTACTCTCATTACTTTTAACTTGTAATAAACATTACTTATTGTACTCATGTATAAATTGTAACTAATTTATTTTTAATAAAAATATTTTTTTTTAATTAAAAAAATTCTTACCTTAAAGGTAAGGTAATTTGTAATAGGTAATAAATTCACTCTAATATTAAAAATAATAAGATAAAAATTAATTATATGATCTGAATATAATATTTGATAGGTATGTCATGTCTTCGGTTTTTTAATGGGGGGGGGGAGGAGGGGATATGTTATGCATTAATAAGCAATGATACGTTTCAAATGTTATTATATCCTACATCGAAGTATAAAAGAAAAAAAATTATTTGCTAAAACATATTATTGGTTGTTTCGTTTTGTTATTTTATTGTGTTTTTTTAAATCAACTTATTATCCTGATTGTCTTTAGCCAAGAAATGACCTATTAAAATTTTATTAATTTATAAATATTATATTTTATTTATACAAGAATTTTTTTAAAAAATAAATTGGATTTATATTTTATTTTTAGATGATTTTTTGGTACTCTTTCCCCAACATTATTTACTATACATACACAAACAAAACACACGTTATTGTAAAATTAGCATACTCACATCAATCTGTTCATAATCAAAAATTAAATAATTAAAGTAGCAAAAAAATTATGTAATTATTAATTATCATTAGGGCCCAGCTTTATATGCTCTAAAAACCTCAGAAATATGAACTTTGAAATAGGCATTTATGTTCTTATTTTCATTATTTTGTAGGAATACTCTATTAAATAAAAAATATGCAAAAAAAGTCTTATTTTTACTATTTTTTATATTTTACATAAAATTATATTATATTTATACGATTCATATTTTGTAGTTATTTAAACATATTATAATTTCAATCTGAAAAATGAATATTTAAGTATAAATAAATTAAATTGAATGAAAATTAAGCACACACGGAACACGAAAAACACGACTAATGTATTGTTCACGAAAACCTACACAATACCAGATTACTTCTAGTCCCGATAGGTCTCAGATAGTCAGATAAAATAAAAAGCGACTTCATCAAATTACATGGACCATAAATCTAACTATAAATACCTTATTTTAATTAAGACAAGCTAAATATTACCTACATATTATGCATTTAAAAACCGTATACATGCATTAAAAAATCGTAAAATACATAAATATGCAGTACATGCCAAAAAACAATAAAATATTGCAAAATAAAACTTAATATTTCGGATCTATTGGTTATATGATTCAAACTTGTAGCTTACCTAGCTATTTTTTGAACTGTTTAGAAAAAACATGCAAATGCATATGAATCCGGGCCCTAATTATCATACATTTAAGAACTAATAAAAACGACAATTCTCAACACAATAAAAAAAACATGGACCTTTGTGTGTGCACAACTCCCATTTTTAATTCTGTAATTTTTAATATTTATTAAAAAAATTACTATGATATTATGTCAATAATATAGTGTAAATAAGTCATAAGTTATTGAGTTTATTTATTATAAAATCGAACAGGTTTAAATAAATTAGATAACCATTCATTATTCTCAGTTTCTGAGTTGTGGGAAAAAATCAATATACATTTATGACATAGTTGAAATTGTTAAAAGAAAAATAATGTCATCCCATATTTTATATTAATTGTTGTATTCATAGTTGGGTGATTTGAGGTGCGACCAGAAATGTCTGGTGGAGTGGGTGCATAATACTTGGTCGATTGTCAGTTGTCACTCATATAATAAATGCATTCATGAAAATGTAATGTTTTAATTTTTTATACAAATAAATATTTTACTTTGTATAGTCCATGTATGGTCTTAGTTATAAAATGTGTACCATTCAGATAGTGACCACTGACCACCATCAGCTGAAAAAAATTCATGTGTGAGCTATCCTTTAGCTACTTTTATGGGTTGTACAAATAAGGCATAAAATCGCTCAAAGTCTCAAGATTCCTTCTATTGATATAACTTTTATTAAGAATATTCCAGTTTATTTTTTGAGTCAATTTTTATATCTTCAGATAAACCAACATCAATTTTTAGATATATAACCCTACTGCGCCTGTGCAAAAAAAAATATAAAATGTAACATTTATAATAGGTGTATCGTGATTTTAGTGTATAACTTATAATGGAAAATCAGGGATTGTGTACCTCGCTATGTGAACAAATTTGACCGATATGGACAATTCGTCTTTAGCACATGGGAAGGGGGATAGAGGCTGCAACCCATTTTTACAACATTTAATTCATGTAAATGTGTATTTATTATAAATCAAGCATGTAATTATTATGATACATCCCTCCAAATTAAATTCCTGTCTACAGCACTGCTTCAACAGGTTGAATATAGTACTTGGTACAAAAATGGTATTTTTAGATATACTTCGTAAAAAAGACAATTAAAATAAAATGAATTAGATTAAACCAAATTATTAGTATCATTTTTTTTGTTTACTGTTCAATTTTTTTGTTAATGTACAATTTTACCGTTTCTTATTTTTACTATTGAAAATTATTACAATTGCTTAAAATGTATTGTTATTCTTTTACGTTACCTACCTTTGAAAAATAATGAGTTATATTTTATTTATTATTTTTAGAAATGTGAGAAATATTCATTAACTTTAATCTTGCTGTAGCATTATCTTGCCGATTTTCAATAGTGGACGTGTATTGATTAATTCTGTTAATTCATCAGGTACCTAATTGCATATCATCCATTGCCATTCCATCATTACAGTCAATTGCAATATTGTGAAGAGCCGAACAAGCAATAATGACATTTTGTACGTTGGAGATTTGTAATCTCATCCCAAGAGCCCATTTTGACTTGATACCTCCTAATTGTGTATAGGTACGTTTATAAGTATAAACAAATGAGTAAAAATTAAATTTGACAAATTACCCTGTTCTACTGAAGTATTACACTGTAATACTTCGATTAAAGTTGTATTCAATTAAATCGGCGAATTGGTTGGTGTGATATAAAGATAAATTTTAGTCTGGTCTAATTTAAAACCACAATTACCATGATGATTACCAGTTATAAAGTTCAAAATAAAATTATTTATATTGCGTAGTAGGTACCTTCTATGTTTTTATTTCAATTAAGTTAATTTTTTAGTTATAATAGGTAAGTAGGTATAGGAATACACATTTGCAGCTTGAAAAGCACCGTGAAAGACATTAAAAAAAAGATGCAAATACATGGAAACCTGAGGTCTAGTTATTATTATTATTAGTATCATGAATATAATTAAAAGTCCTAGATATAAATGTATCACAATTCATAATGCCTATGACATGATGTAACTAGGGCAGAGGACTTGCAGCATTTGCATATTTGTTTTTCGCAGTCACAAAAATAGCAAAATACGAAAGAAAAATGTTTCATGCTTTCATAGAGCTAGTTTTGAATTTTTACCTTTTTAGGCTAAAGCTTTGAGTTTTTTTTTTGGGTTTTAAGAGCATATTTCGTCGATTATACTTGACAGATATTTTTATGTAATTAATAATTGTATCAATTTATTCTCCATTGACACTTTTATTTGAAATAACTACCAAAACATAAATTTGTTTTTATTTTTCGTCAGATAATATTGCTTTTGGCCGGTTTCCAGCGCACGCTTTTCCTAAAAGACTGATGAAAGTGTACCTACATTATAATACAATGTAATATACTTAAAGTTGTAACAGCCATAATGCGTAGTAGTGTGTGTAAATGGGATGGTAAACATCCGTAAACTTTTTTGGTAGGTAGATAGCATACTACACTGATGAAGTAGAGGTAGGTAGCATACTCTAGTACCAAATTTGATGATGCTATTAAAAATATGGTGGTGCTATAAGCACCCCCAAAATCGCACCTAAGGGTGTGTTTTGTAGTTTTGTTGTAATATTACGTGTATCTGACGTAAATGTTAATGAGATACAAGTTTTAGATTTAAAACGTAGTTTTTCATAATTTTTGTATTATATACATATTCGTTTTGGTAAATTAAAATAATTAAGTATTTTTTCACAGTATCTATAGATAACGTGACTACTGTGAATAGAATTTATTGTTTATAATTCAGTTAAATCGTTTAACACCTGTAAAAACTTAAAATTGCGATATTATTTTTTACGAAAAAAACAAAAAAATATATTATATGTAGCTTTAGCTGCGTATTATTTAACCAATTATTGTAGTATTAGGCCACGTATAACAATGACTATACATCTGTTTCAAATGTCTAGAACCACTGCGACATATTTAATTTACCGAGGCGATAAAAATAATTAAATACCAATCATAAAGACTAGAATAGGTAGTATATAAGTATAAATAGTGCTATATAAAAGTATATTCTAGTCTTCATGATACCAATAATGTAGTTACCAACTAACATCAAATAGTATGAACTACTTAATATGAAAATACTTTTTTTAAATGTTCAATACTTGGTTATAAAAACCGAACATTTTATACTTTTTAAATACAGAAAAAAATGTGTAGGTCTTCGTGATTTTGATGAATTTTGTCAAAATTTGAACTTAAAACGCTTATAAAAAAATGATCCTTATGTATTTTTAAATTATTGTAAAAAACTTGCGAGGAACCTTGTATTTAATTTCCAAGGTTATTGCAGGGCTTGAAACCGAAAACAATTTTTCCATTTTCGATTTCAGATATAATCGGTATTTATTTTTTACGATTTTGATTTGGGTTTCGGATATTGGTATTTATTTTTTCCGATGTCGTTTAAGATTCTGAGTGGAGATGAATGTGCGTTTTATTATTATTTTTTTTTTTATTTCTGTGTCTGTCGTCAAGGTTTTGGGGCAATAAAAGTGCTTCGATTTTCTTCAACGGCAACTTTTCTGGTAAGAATGTAAATCAAGTTGGTGCATTCGGGAAGAAAAATTTAAATTTTAACAGTTTTCAAAAGCGACAGGAAAAACGATTTTTTATACGCAAAACCAGTTTTCGAAAAAATCAATTTTGGTTTTTAGTGTAATTCTAAAAAAATGACCATAGATACAAGCAATTTTCAATGAATGTTTGTGTTACCATTTTCTATATACCATAAAATTTTCAAAATATTTTGACTCATGTTGAACAATTTACAGGCATATGAAATTTTCAATTATTATTTGTTTTTCTTTTATTTTTTAAATTAATATCTTTAAAATTTTTTTAGCTCTGTCAAAAAACTTGAAAATTAATGCCAATAGATTCCTCTTAAGTTGTTGTTAGTGGAAATTAAGAAAAAAGTTGAACTTAAATCCATGATAATTTTGTATGAGCGTTTGAAT